GACTGTGTGGTGACTTTGTGATCCACCCTGAGCTTGCTGTTCTTTGCGTGACTGGTCTTGTGACCCCTTGTTCTCCCCCACATTGCCTATGGGGGTGTGTCAGAACATATATATAGCTTATGCTGTTGTGTAGGCTATAGTGGGGTATCCCATAGGGGGTACAACCCAATTAGGGTTTCCTATATGTACTCACTTCATTCATAGTTCATCCGTTCTCGTTCTCATTCTCACAAATATGAAACCCTAGAATTGTGTACCCCTTAGTATCTAACCCGCTACAGCCTACACAGGCTAGATCATATAAGTTTGACAGAGTCGTTGGGGGACTTCGCCTGAAGGGCACTTTTCGAAGTTGCCTGGCAAGAAACACAACGGCAAGGATACCTAGGACCCCCGGTGTTTAAACGCACACCTCGGGAAATTCTTCAGAAAAAGGGGAGCGTGGGAGCAGTCGTAGCTTCGGGATCTATCGACCGGCGACGAGCGATGTGGTGAAACATCTGCAAAGCGCTGGTGGGAGAAACAAGAATTTTTGTTAAGCGACATCGACGGGAGCAGTTTTGACGACGGAGTCAACGGCGTTGATGCCTCTAGGTTCCGTGAAATTCCGTCTCGGAATAGCCCAGGGCAGTCCCCGGTTCTCGATTGAACCCAGATGCTGGGGTCGGGTAACCGACGGAAACTGATGGTGACCGAGTGGGCGGCTATAGCACGTCCGAGATTTTCGGAGGCGAACTGCAACTGCAACTGCGGCATTACGGGGTTTGATTCGAGCAACAATTTCGGAGTGTTTACGTGGGGACTTCCCGGTTTTACGGCAAGGTGCGCCGACAATTTCGGAGGAGTTGCGGCGTTTGGTTAAACGCGCGCGTCAAACGGAGGGGGGCAGCACCGCGAGATTTACACGGACTTTTTCAGGGGTACGAAGGACTTACGACGAACTGAAGAAGGCGGCAGCAACAGTGAAGGGGGGGAGCGACAGCTGTGAAATTTCATCCCTGCCCAAGAATCATCGACGCATTACGACAAAACTCTCGGAGAAACCATTTCCAACTCTGCTACCGACAACTCGCCTTCGACCCGCCGACGACAACTGCATTACTTCTCAACCACGTCAGGAGCTGCCAGCTGCAACTGCTGAAGATATCGGCTGATTCTGGCGACGTGAAGACAAAACGGCTGCGAAACTTTTCTGTGGAGCATTTCTTGAAGGGGGGGGGAGAAAGTGCTTTGCACTATTTCTTTCCTCGGCGTTTTCTCGGCACAATTTCTGACTTTGTCAGAATGCAGCAGCACGACGGACGACCGCGATCGCTGCTTCACGATCAACGGTTTCTGCAACATCGCGATTGAATTTCGCGTCAGTAGGTTCCCTCCAATCTCGCGTCAGTCTTCGACCGTCAGATCCACATCTGCTTCATCGACGGCCCACATTCCAACTTCAACTTCATTTTGGGCTAGTTCATCGTCGACCGTCAGATCGAAATCGGACTACATCAACGGCCTACCTTCCAACCTTTTCAAAAAAAAAATCGAAGGCATTTCGGCCGTCGGATTCAGCTGAAGGGGAGATCTACGGCATCCTTGCTAGTGTGGAGTCCGTTTTCAGTAAAGGACTGCCTTATTTAGAAGGTGGGAGAGTGTAAGGATTTACAGAATCCTTACTGAGGCACTCGTTAGCGAGGCCATCCCGAGGGTCACGCGACGAACCTGTCCTTCCTATTTCGTCGCACCTAACCACTCCCGAGTCGCCTCCGCTCCAATCGCAACCATCACCGAGCCATCCTGGCCCAACCTCTCCGCCTAGCTAGGACTTCCCCTATTTAGTCGTGCCTTTCTCATTGTATCGTCATTCGGTAATCAGTTCATTCTCGTTGTTCGATATTCTGCGCACTCTGCAAGTTCATTCATAACACAAACCATGCATGGTTTACCCTACATTCCTTGTTTTTGTTTTCCTTTTTGGATTATTAGGCTCCGCAGTGCTGCCTATATTGTCATCTAGTCAGGTGCGCGAGTGAATAGGTGTCGCTAAGATGGGTCCACGCGTAGAATTACTGAATCGATTTTGTATGATTTGTCGGCGCGCAATGATTGTTCTGAGCAGTTGTCGCTGCGATGTTGCAAGCGGCCCTGGAAAAAAAAAAAAAACCCAGGGCTTACGGCATGCCATTCGGGAGCCTCAACCCTAAAAGTTTAGGGTTGATGCTCCCGAAATGGCATGCCTTCCGAGTGGGTTTTATTTTTTCCTTACCCGCGGTCAGCTTGCGGACTCAATTGCACAGCCAGCCGACGCTGGCAGTGCAGTATTTTTTTCCACAATGGATCATGACTGCAGACGGAAAAAAAGATAACTCCTACGCTGGGTTTGAAATTATTGCTTCGGGATTGCGTCGAATTCGTTATCACGCAAAAGCGCGGAATTTTGGGGACCCTAAACTTGAGAAATCAGAATACGCAGAGCATATGCACCGTGATGGCGGGTGTAGAGACAAGAGGCAGTCCATGGGATTGAAGGATATCAAAAAACGGGTAGCGCGGTACGAGGGTAGTCCACAGGATTGAGCAAAAATTGAAACACGTCGCGTCGCGCAATTATTTCCAGATTTCCCTCGGGGCTTGGCTCGTTCCATAATCTCGCTGCCTGTTGTCATCATTCGGTCTGAGGCTGTGACTCCTTGATTTTCCAAGTTCCACCACCAGAGCCGCAAAGGACAAATGGCCAGATAAGGATGAGCAATTTGGCGGTGGTGCGGTGCGCCGCATTCTAGCACAGACACCACAACTCAATACATACCATGCAAAATTACTCATTTGAGTTCAATAACATTTCTCTCATAATGTGCACATCAAGTGCACTTGCGAAATGAGCGGGAGGAACGGGCAGTGTGTGAACGCAAGCGCATGGCTAAACAACTGAATTTGTGAGCGATTGACTTGAGTGAGGAAGTGCATTATCACCCCCATGTCCCCCATGGCCCCCATGCCCCCATGCCCACCAGTCGGCCTGCTGCTGCCAGTCCCTGCCTCGCTCCCTCCCTCACCGTCGCTGCTGCTGATGCACGCGCCGGGAGGGCGACGAGTCGTGCAGGCAGAGCAGCAGGCGAGATGCCCCGGGATGGTCCAATACTGGCTGAGGGGGAGGAGAGAAAGGGGAGGAGTTGCTGAAATTTGGGAAGGCAGGGAGGAGAGGAGGGGTAAGAGACAAAGGGGAGGAGTTGCTGAAATTTGGGGAGGCAGGGAAGAGAGGAGAGTGTGTAGGCGGACAGGAGGCCATGCTGTGTGACGGCTTCGAGAGGTTCAGGAAGGTTCAGAAAGGTTAAGAGCATTGCTTACCAGGGGGAGGGATTCAGTGTGGCTGGCGATGGTAGAGAGGGGAGAGATTCAGTGTGGCTGGCGGTGGTAGAGAGGGGAGAGATTCAGTGTGGTTGGCGATGGTAGAGAGGGGAGAGATTCAGTGTGGGTGGCGATGGTAGAGAGGGGAGAGATTCAGTGTGGGTGGCGATGGTAGAGAGGGGAGAGATTCAGTGTGGCTGGCGATGGTAGAGAGGGGAGAGATTCAGTGTGGGTGGCAATGGTAGAGAGGGGAGAGATTCAGTGTGGGTGGCGATGGTAGAGAGGGGAGAGATTCAGTGTGGGTGGCGATGGTAGAGAGGGGAGAGATTCAGTGTGGCTGGCGATGGTAGAGAGGGGAGAGATTTAGTGTGGGTGGCGATGGTAGAGAGGGGAGAGATTCAGTGTGGCTGGCGATGGTAGAGAGGGGAGAGATTCAGTGTAGGTGGCGATGGTAGAGAGGGGAGAGATTCAGTGTGGCTGGCGATGGTAGAGAGGGGAGAGATTCAGTGTGGCTGGCGATGGTAGAGAGGGGAGAGATTCAGTGTGGGTGGCGATGGTAGACAGGGGAGAGATTCAGTGTGGGTGGCGATGGTAGAGAGGGGAGAGATTCAGTGTGGCCGGCGATGGTAGAGAGGGGAGAGATTCAGTGTGGGTGGCGATGGTAGAGAGGGGAGAGATTCAGTGTGGGTGGCGATGGTAGAGAGGGGAGAGATTCAGTGTGGGTGGCGATGGTAGAGAGGGGAGAGATTCAGTGTGGGTGTCGATGGTAGAGAGGGGAGAGATTCAGTGTGGGTGGCGATGGTAGAGAGGGGAGAGATTCAGTGTGGGTGGCGATGGTAGAGAGGGGAGAGATTCAGTGTGGGTGGCGATGGTAGAGAGGGGAGAGATTCAGTGTGGGTGGCGATGGTAGAGAGGGGAGAGATTCAGTGTGGGTGGCGATGGTAGAGAGGGGAGAGATTCAGTGTGGGTGGCGATGGTAGAGAGGGGAGAGATTCAGTGTGGGTGGCGATGGTAGAGAGGGGAGAGATTCAGTGTGGGTGGCGATGGTAGAGAGGGGAGAGATTCAGTGTGGGTGGCGATGGTAGAGAGGGGAGAGATTCAGTGTGGGTGGCGATGGTAGAGAGGGGAGAGATTCAGTGTGGGTGGCGATGGTAGAGAGGGGAGAGATTCAGTGTGGCTGGCGATGGTAGAGAGGGGAGAGATTCAGTGTGGGTGGCGATGGTAGAGAGGGGAGAGATTCAGTGTGGCTGGCGATGGTAGAGAGGGGAGAGATTCAGTGTGGGTGGCGATGGTAGAGAGGGGAGAGATTCAGTGTGGCTAGCGATGGTAGAGAGGGGAGAGATTCAGTGTGGCTAGCGATGGTAGAGAGGGGAGAGATTCAGTGTGGGTGGCGATGGTAGAGAGGGGAGAGATTCAGTGTGGGTGGCGATGGTAGAGAGGGGAGAGATTCAGTGTGGGTGGCGATGGTAGAGAGGGGAGAGATTCAGTGTGGCTGGCGATGGTAGAGAGGGGAGAGATTCAGTGTGGCTGGCGATGGTAGAGAGGGGAGAGATTCAGTGTGGGTGGCGATGGTAGAGAGGGGAGAGATTCAGTGTGGCTGGCGATGGTAGAGAGGGGAGAGATTCAGTGTGGCTGGCGATGGTAGAGAGGGAGACGCAGACCTTTCAGGGGTGCAGATGGGCAGGGAGACAAGGGGAATAAAAAAGGGACACAGGGGTGCAGATGGGCGGGGAGACAGGGGAACTATAAAGGGATACAGGGGTGCAGAAAGGTTAAGCAAGGCACAGGGGTGCAGAGATGCGTGGAGATGGTTGCAAAGGAGTTGTTGTGGAGATGCAAAGTTCTAGCGCTTGTGCAGATGCGGACAGGAGCAAACGACAAGGGAAGAGAGAAGGGAAGGGCAGCTGCAGAGTTAAGAGGAGGGAAGAGCAAGCGTGGTGCTGCAACGGACAGCAGAGGTGATCAGAGAGGCATAAGGACAGCACCTGACGCCTTGTCTTGACGTCAGGTGATCCCAACAGAGAGATGACGGCAGCAATGCCGCCCGCATCTGCCAAGGCTGTAGCATGCAGCCGCAGCAGCGAGTGGGGTGTCACGTCGGCACTGAGAGGGCTATCCGCGCCACAGCCTCGTCCTGCTATGAGGTATAAGGATATGAAATACGGGGAGATGAGTATGTGGAGGTGAATTGCAAGGGAACATGAGAACATGAGATATGGCGATAAGGAGAGATGGAAACACGGGACTGAGGGTATGAGTAAGAGGCGCATGAGATATGAGGTGAGATACAGAGATGTGAGATAAGGAGATGTGAGATAAGGAGATGTGAAATATGGAGTTACTGCCATTCTGGCGCCATAAGCTACGAGCCAAGCTGACACATGGACGCACCTGCAGGCATGTCACCAGCAACCGCACTGCACCCGTCTCAACCAACCCTCATTGCCATGTCACCGCTGTGCTTCGCCACGTGGCCCAATGCGCACGCGGCAGTCTCCCGCACTGTCAGCATGGCATCCGGAAGGCATTCCGTCAGCAACGGCAGCACGCCCGCCTCTGCCAGCTCAGCGCCAGCGTGGCGCGGCACGGCCTTGACTAGATATGCTGCTGCGCACTTGTGATGTCGATTGGCGCTGCTGGGGGGTAGAGGAAGAGAAGAGGGAAAGGCGAGGGAAGGCGACACGTTGCGCTGCACGAGGTGGTGCGACTACGTGTGCGACACATTCGCCAGGCGACCCTGCGACAGCGTCGCAGCGGATTGCACGGACGCCATGCTGTCCTGCGCGAGTGGCGGCAGCAGCAGCTGCAGCGCGCCGAGCGACAACAGATACTCCGCGTTCTGCGGAGGAAGAAACGCGGGCGAAACGTATTCGGTGTTGATTACCTCGTCAATAAGAGCCGAGAGTCACCAGGATGCTGAAATATGGGGTTCGAGATGTATAATACGGGGTTCGAGATGTATAATACGGGGTTCGAGATGCTACCATACGGGATGTATAGTACGGAATTTGAGAGGTTATCATGCGGGTTCGAAGAATCTGATGACATCCTCCGGGGTTCGCGGGAGCATGCTCCCGTGTCGGCGAGCTTACGAATCGCAAAGAAGGATTTGAACGGCTCTCGGTGGCGCGAAATGCGGCAGGAACCTCACCCAGAAGCGCCATGATTTCGAAGATCAAAGCTCGGATTCTAAGAGAAGCTGTGATTAGACAGCGAAAGAGACTGAGACTAAGGCGCACCTGAGGCGCACCTGAGGCAACTTCCATGACAAACTGCACGCGCCCGTCGCGGTACGCCTCCATTACCGCCACCGCGGCTCGAGCCGCTTTGAACTGCGTGGGTGCTGGCAGCACCGCAGCCGCCGCCATAGCTAAAACAAGGCTACGGCGCGCAGCCATGCTAGGCGAGGTTGGCCGAGCCTGCCATGGCGAAGGTGGCGCCGTAGCTAGAAGAATAAAGAAGGAGAACGAGTAGTCGCAGCGGAAGAAAGCTAGGCTGGAGAGAGACGCCCAGCTCTGGAGACGTAGATGAGAGAAGATAGGAAGAGAGATTCCAAGAATATAGAACTAGAGACGATCCAAGGATGAATAATACAAGAAAAGCTAGAGAGAGATATTTATGCTAGGAGAAGTGAGGCGCGACTCGGATAGGAAGACCGTGTTGCTACTCAATCTAGCATAGCATCTCAACATAGCGTCTCGATGCTATGCTCTGCTGGAATATAGGATATGACGGGGATTGGGGAATATGACGAGGATTGGAAGATGTGATCCGAGATAAGCAGTTGTCCCTATTCGAAGTTAGCTAGGCAGCTGTACCTTCCCCTTTCGGAGATTCCCATGCATGCTCGCATGGCGAATCCCGTCTTGTTACATAATTCCCTTCCCTAAGAAGCATCGTCCCGATGCTTACCATGCTAACTAATCATAAAAACCAGAAAGTATAGACAACCAGAAAGTCTAAACCAGAATTTATTTACAAGCCTATCTTGGTCTTCTCTTGGTCTTCAAGCTTCATGCTTCAGAGGTGAGTGTCCACAGCAGATAAGAGGGAGGTAGGCATACAGCTGCAGCCCATACTACAGCTCTTGCGGTCACCTGCAGCCTTGGTGAATGGCAGAGGACTCCTCAGGTCCTTCCATGTAAACAACCTCACATAAGCCCATGCTTCCTTAGCTATGGCGCTTCTTACTGATCACAGTAATCCATACCAAGCTGCCTTATAAGCTGGTGCCTATAGCACGTCCAGCGATACCGTTTTATATGCCTCAAAAGAGAAAACCAGAGAATAGAAGTGACATGGCAAACCATCTAGCCAAGCAACCTTGTGGATCCACTAGAGTTAGTGAAATAAGGCGCTTATGCTCTTTATAAACAACAGAGCAAAGGACTAGGAACATGCCAAGCTGAATCAGGAGAAAGGAAGGAAAGAACTTAGACACGCAATCGTCTTGCTCACAATTGCTCTACTGTCTATAAGCAGTTTATGGAGCAATGGCAAGTACACAGAAAATTGATTGTTTCTCCTTCTCAAACAAAGGAATCAGATTGTGGAGAGTCCAAAGTATCGAGAAGTTTCATGAAGAGGAGATTCAGGTGAGAAGACCAAGTGGAAGTGCTCAGCAGAAAGATTTGAAGTCATGCAACTGAATTTTCAAACGCTTTTTACCCAACTACACCTTGGGCTGAAAAGTTGCATGGAGGTCAAAGTGTAGCAGTAGGAAGATGCCTTGAGCAGAAGGGTCACTTCGAAATTCGAATTTCTGCTCCCAATTCTTCTGATTGGCCGGAATTCGTCCACACAGGTTCAGGAATCTCGCCAACACCAAAACGGATTTCGACTTCAGCCTTGAAGCAAGAAGTTCCTCGCCATCCTAAGTGCAGGAACGCCCTCGTAATAGCTCAAGGTAGGACATGTCGAATCAGTAGAAGTCAAAGCCGCAGAGAAGCAGCTAGCTACTAAGGACGAGAGTAGTAGACGAGGTGAAGATAGTAGCTAGCTTAGTTCGAGAATAGAAACTTAGGATCGTAAACAGCTCGGATACCAATGAAACAAGGCTACGGCGCGCAGCCATGCTAGGCGAGGTTGGCCGAGCCTGCCATGGCGAAGGTGGCGCCGTAGCTAGAAGAATAAAGAAGGAGAACGGGTAGTCGCAGCGGAAGAAAGCTAGGCTGGAGAGGGACGCCCAGCTCTGGAGATGTAGATGAGAGAAGATAGGAAGAGAGATTCCAAGAATATAGAACTAGAGACGATCCAAGGATGAATAATACAAGAAAAGCTAGAGAGAGATATTTATGCTAGGAGAAGTGAGGCGCGACTCGGATAGGAAGACCGTGTTGCTACTCAATCTAGCATAGCATCTCAACATAGCGTCTCGATGCTATGCTCTGCTGGAATATAGGATATGACGGGGATTGGGGAATATGACGAGGATAGGAAGATGTGATCCGAGATAAGCAGTTGTCCCTATTCGAAGTTAGCTAGGCAGCTGTACCTTCCCCTTTCGGAGATTCCCATGCATGCTCGCATGGCGAATCCCGTCTTGTTACAATAGCTAAATGCGTCAGATACGTACTTCTACGATAATATATCACGCGACACACTAGAAGAACCAGCGAATACGGCGGGGGAATGAAGATTAAGGATGCGGGAGAAGCGTAACCACCGCCGCGCGATTCGGCAAGCACCTTTGGATGGTGATGAATCGTGATTCAGGAAGGAGTTTCTTACGGTGGGTTCCTAAGTCCTTGTGCGAGCCTACGGTGTCGGTGAGGTCACCATTTCTATGTCAACATTTCCCTCCCTTCTTCCTTATGAATTCACGCTAGCTACTCACAGATAATCTCTGCTCTTGGTGATGTCAGCCAACGTGAAGCATGTATCGAGACCGATAATCTTCGCCACAATGACCAGTGGGACAATCTTATCGGCACGATGTTCATCACAGCAATTGCTCCTTCTACATCGTGTAGCGGGTCACTGTATGGCGCGGAAGTGAGAGAATCTTTCGTCGGGTCGCATCAGGTCAGCAAGATTCCCGTGCCGTGCTGATGGTTCCTCAGTCCTCGACAGCGAGGCAGCTTCGCACAACTTGCTCAGTTACGCGCCGATGGTTCCTTGGCCGCTTGTGCTTTTGTGACGTCAACAGTGATTTCCGTGCCTCCTCTTTCGCGCAAAATCGACCACAGTGTTGTCAGGAGACGCGCTTCGGATTTGAAAAGTTTGTGCGAAATGTCAAGAAGGCATCGGGCCGTCGTCAAGCGCAGCCCTCCAGATGAGCTGCCGAGTCTCGTTACTGTACATGCGTGTACAGTATTCTGGGTGTATCCAACTCATCCGTTCAGCGGTACAGTGTGAAGAAAATGCTCGCCTGCCTCAACACTCGACTTTCACAAGCGGTTGGAAAAGTCGAAGCCAAAAATTTTACGTGGGCAGCATCTTTGCAAGGGTCGCAATCACGACTTTTTAAAGTAGGGCTGTAGTACTGCTAGGAATGGGGGTAAATTAAGAGAATATGAAAGGCACGGTTACTGTTCTTGGAAAAAAGACCACACATCTTGACCCAAGGTTTTACCAACAAAAAGAGGTTTCTGACCCACAGCAGGTGGTGGTGACCACCACATCTCACTGGATTGCTGAAACCCTAGTGCCTCTCGTCTGCTCCATCACAAGGGCTGCTCCCCACAAGAGAGCAGGACAGAGAAACAGCCGCGAAGTAAAGCGGCAGAAAAACGCCCGCGAAGTAGAATGACAGAAAATAGGCCGCGATTCGAGCGGCTGAACCAGTTCCCATAGATGCCCTCAGGACTAGTTTCTCATGATACAAAACAGAGTGACTTTAGACCTCACAATCTATTGCACTACATCGACATCAGTTTTCAATACGCCAATCGTCCCTGGAGCTCCATCACCATTCGCCACCATCTCCACCATCAATCCACCTCCATTTTCAAACCACCCTCCGCCCAGCCTTCCTTCCAAGTTCCAGAGGTAGGCATTGGCTACCTTCCCTAGCTTGTTGAGTTTTGGTCGTTTAGCTCAGCTTCTTTTTTCAGATCTGAGTATATTTCTAACTAAGCCGTTTTAACCTTTGCAGGACATCAAGTGCAAGTCAAGAATGCTTCTGCTGCTCAAGAAGCAACTAATCCGCACCCGCTGGAACTCCCATCACCATTTGCCACCAAAGCCACTATCAACCCGCCATCAAACCGCCCTCCGCCCTGCCCACCTCTTCAGCTCCAGAGGTAAGCATTGGCTACCTTCCCTAACTTATTGATGTTCGGTCGTTTTGCTTAACTTTGTTTTTTAGATCTGAGTATATCCTGACTAAGTCGTTTTAACCTTTGCAGGATATGAAGTGCAAGTCAAGAACGTGGCTTCTGTTCAAGAAGCTGCGAATCAAGCATCAACCTATCCGCCCCCGCTGGATCTCCATCACCATTCGCCATCAACGTGACCTTCAACACGCCATCAAACCGCCCAGCCTCTCTCTCCAGCTCCAGAGGTAAGCTTTGGCTATTTTCCCGAGCTTATTGATTTTCGGCCGTTTTGCTTCAACTTCTTTTTCAGATATGAGTTTATTCTAACTAAGTTGTTTTAACCTTCGCAGGCAATCAAGTGCAAGTCAAGAACGTTGCCTCTGCTCAAGAATCTGTGGAACACACATCATCCAATGCGCACCCGCTGGAGCTCCCATCACCATTTGCCACCAAAGCCACTATCAACCCGCCATCAAACCGCCCTCCGCCCTGCCCACCTCTTCAGCTCCAGAGGTAAGCATTGGCTACCTTCCCTAACTTATTGATTTTCGGTCGTTTTGCTTTTACTTCTTTTTCAGATCTGAGTTTTTTCTAACTAAGTTGTTTTAACCTTTGCAGGCAATCAAGTGCAAGTCAAGAACGTTTGTTTTGCTCAAGAAGCCGTGAAACAAGCATCAACCAGTCCACACTCGCTGGAGCTCCCATCACCGTTCAGCACTTCAACGTTCTGCCGTTCTCCCCTTCGTGCGGAGGCATAGCTTCTCTCGTGTGGCGTGCGACGGGCGTCGGATAAAGGACGCGCGCGACTGCTTCGGCGCGACTGATCGGGAAGTGTCGTTCCCTTCCCTCCCTCCTCTCTCCTTTCACCGCTTGTTCCTTTGTTGTTTCGCAATCCGCCAATCCGCCATTTGTGTTTTCCAACGTTTCACCGTTCCTCTGACGCAAGGGCTGCAGTTGGGAGATGATCCTCCGCGGGTCGGGTTTTGGGTTTGGGTAGCATAGTTTCTCCTCCCTCTTCTGGCTGCAGCCTACGCGTCACGAACGTTCCACCCTCGTTCTGTTCTTTCTTGTCGGTTTTTCGATTTCGTTTGTCTTCGTTTTTATTTTCAGTTTCGCATTTCGTTTCGTCTTTGTTCTTCTCTTGTCTTTTATCTTCTGTTCTCTTTACTAACTTCGTGCTCTTGTGCGTGTTTTCTCCCTGCTTTTCAGGTTTCATGACTTGCGCTTGCGGGGCTTCAATCGAGCCTTCTCCTATGACTTCAACACTCCACCCGCGTGGCGTGCTACGGGCGATTTGACAAGGGACGCGCGCGACTGCCTCTCCGTCAACTCCAACAGATGGAAGCGTCGTTCCCTTCCCTTCCTCGTTCCTTTTACCGCTTTTCTGTTAATTGTTGTTTCGTTTCGCCATCATTGCATCTCGCCACTCCGCCATTTGTGTTTTCGACGTTTCACCGTTCCTCTGACGCAAGGGCTGCAGTTAGGAGATGATCCTCCGCGGGTCGGGTTTTGGGTTTGGGTAGCATAGTTTCTCCTCCCTCTTCTGGCTGCAGCCTACGCGTCACGAACGTTCCACCCTCGTTCTGTTCTTTCTTGTCGGTTTTTCGATTTCGTTTGTCTTCGTTTTTATTTTCAGTTTCGCATTTCGTTTTGTCTTTGTTCTTCTCTTGTCTTTTATCTTCTGTTCTCTTTACTAACTTCGTGCTCTTGTGCGTGTTTTCTACCTGCTTTTCAGGTTTCATGACTTGCGCTGCGGGGCTTCAATCGAGCCTTCTCCTATGACTTCAACACTTCTCCCGCGTGGCGTGCTACGGGCGATTTGACAAGGGACGCGCGCGACTGCTTCTCCGTCAACTCCAACAGATGGAAGTGTCGTTCCCTTCCCTTCCTCGTTCTTTTTACTGCTTTTCTGTTATTTGTTGTTTCGTTTCGCACTCATTGCATCTCGCCAATCCGCCATTTGTGTTTTTCGACGTTTCACCGTTCCTCTGACGCAAGGGCTGCAATTAGGAGATGATCCTCCGCGGGTCGGGTTTTGGGTTTGGGTAGCTTAGTTTCTCCTCCCTCTTCTGGTTGCAGCCTACGCGTCACGAACGTTCCACCCCCATACATTTTCGCATTCGTCGTTTTCTTCTGTTCTCGAATTCTCGGTTTCTGTTCACTAACTTCGTGCTATTATTTGCGTTTCTTTTCAGGAATAACGGATTTGTCGTAGCGGAGCTTCAGACGCGGAGGCAACAAGGCTGCAGACCTTCAGACGCGGAGGCAACAAGGCTGCAGACCTTCAGACGCGGAGGCAACAAGGCTGCAGACCTTCAGACGCGGAGGCAACAAGGCAACAAGGCAACAAACTCCTTCAGCAGCGGACAAACTCCTTCAGCAGCGGACAAACTCCCCGGCAGCAGCAGACAAACTCCCCGGCAGCAGCGGACACAACTATTCGGCAGCAGCGGACAAACTACTCGGCAGCAGCGGACAAACTACTCGGCAGCAGCGGACAAACTACTCGGCAGCAGCGGACAAACTACTCGGCAGCAGCGGACAAACTACTCGGCAGCAGCGGACAAACTACTCGGCAGCAGCGGACAAACTACTCGGCAGCAGCGGACAAACTACTCGGCAGCAGCGGACAAACTACTCGGCAGCAGCGGACAAACTACTCGGCAGCAGCGGACAAACTACTCGGCAGCAGCGGACAAACTACTCGGCAGCAGCGGACAAACTACTCGGCAGCAGCGGACAAACTACTCGGCAGCAGCGGACAAACTACTCGGCAGCAGCGGACAAACTACTCGGAAGCAGCGGACAAACTACTCGGCAGCAGCGGACAAACTACTCGGCAGCAGCGGACAAACTACTCGGCAGCAGCGGACAAACTACTCGGCAGAAGCGGACAAACTACTCGGCAGCAGCGGACAAACTACTCGGCAGCAGCGGGCAAACTACTCGGAAGCAGCGAAAACCCCCCTTTGGAAGCAGCGGAAACCCCCTTCGGAAGCAGCGGAAATCAGCGGAAATCAGCTTCGGAAGCAGCGGAAACCCCCTTTGGCAGCATAGGAAAACCCTTCGGCAGCAGCGGAAATCTCCTTCGGTAGCAGCACAAAAACCCTTCAGCAGCAGCGGAAAACCCCCTCGGCAGCAGCAGACACACTCCTCGGCAGCAGCGGAAAACCCTCTCGGCAGCAGCGGAAACCCCCTTCGGAAGCAGCGGAAACCTCCTTCGGAAGCAGCAGAAACCCCCTTCGGAAGCAGCGGAAACCTCCTTCGGAAGCAGCGGGAACCCCCTTTGGCAGCAGAGATAAACCTTAGCAGAGATAAACCCTTCGGCAGCAGCGGAAAACCCCCTCGGCAGCAGCGGACACACTCCTTCGGCAGCAGCGGACAAACTACTCGGCAGCAGCAGTCACACCCCTCGGCAGCAGCGGAAAACCCTCTCGGCAGCAGCGGAAACACCCCTTCGGCAGCAGCGGAAAACTCCTTCGGTAGCAGCGGAAAAACCCTTCAGCAGCAGCAAAACCCCTACACGGTAGCAGATGATAACTCATTCACGATGGAGCCGACGTAGCAGGTCAACACCGTCGACGCAGCTGACGTAGCAGGTCAACACCGACGACGCAGCTGACGTAGCAGGTCAACACCGACGACGCAGCTGACGTAGCAGACAGCAGCCGCACTGAATCATCCTAACTGAAATAGCCGCACAGAAGCAGCCGTGATTCTGTGAAGGGAGGAGCTTGGGGGGGGGAGTGGTAAAAACCTTTGGGCAGAGCGGTGGCGAGGGGTTGACTGGGATGGTGGGCGGCGTGGAGAAACATTAGGCAACTGAGTGTGCATGCTCAGGCCAAGAGGCTGTGGCATACGGTGCCCGGGAAGCTTCAAGGAAGTCGTGATGGAGGCTGGTCTTGTCGAGTATGGTTCTGACTGCAGCAGAATCATGCTCGCAGGATACCACACACTCCAGGTAGCAACTCCCTTGGGGTGACTCAGGCATCACGAGTTTTTCCTCACTGGCGTGGGTGAGGAGAATTCGATGCCACGGACTTTTCCACACTGGAGTGGGTGTGGAGGGTCCTTTGCCTCTTGGTGCCTTGTGAATCTCGCGCTTCTTACCGACCAGTCGATTCCTTAATACCGTGATGCTGAGGAGGGGGTGAAGGAGTGGGGAAGCTGCTAAGGAAGCTGCCAGAGGCTGCTAACGAAGGTGCCAAGTGTTGCTAAGGAAGGAGGGCTGCTGCCTTAGGGTAGAAGGGGTGTGAAGGAGAGAGAAGGGGTGTGAAGGAGAGAGAAGGGGTGTGAAGGAGAGAGAAGGGGTGTGAATGAGAGAGAAGGGGTGTGAATGAGAGAGAAGGGGTGTGAATGAGAGAGAAGGGGTGTGAATGAGAGAGAAGGGGTGTGAATGAGAGAGAAAGGGTGTGAATGAGAGAGAAGGGGTGTGAATGAGAGAGAAGGGGTGTGAAGCAGAGAAAGGGTGTGCAGCAGAGAAGGGGTGTGGAGCAGAGAAGGGGTGTGTAGCAGAGAAGGGGTGAAGCAGCAGAGAAGAGGTATGAAGCAGAGAAGGGGTATGAAGCAGAGAAGGGGTATGAAGCAGAGAAGGGGTGTGAAGCAGAGAAGGGGTGTGAAGCAAAGAAGGGGTGAGAAGCAGAGAAGGGGTGAGAAGCAGAGAAGGGGTGTGAAGCAGAGAAGGGGTGTGGAGCAGAGAAGGGGTGTGAAGCAGAGAAGGGATGTGAAGCAAAGAAGGGGTGTGAAGCAAAGAAGGGATGTGAAGCAAAGAAGGGGTGAGAAGCAAGGAAGGGGTGTGAGGGAGAGAGAAGGAATGTGAAGGAGAGAAGGGGGTGAAGCAGAGAGAAGGGGTGAAGCAGAGAGAAGGGGTGAAGCAGAGAGAAGGGGTGAAGCAGAGAAGCAGAGAAGGGAGTGAAGGGGACAAGTGAATAAGCAGGAAGGAGAGGAGAGAAGGAGAATGGGAAGCAGAGAGAAGGGGTGATGCAGAGAGAAGGGGTGAAGCAGAGAGAAGGGGTGAAGCAGTGAGAAGAGGTGAAGCAGAGAAGCAGAGAAGGGGATGAAGGAGACAAGGGAAAAAGCAGGAAGGAGGAGAGAAGGAGAATGTGGGAAGTAGTGAGAAAGGGTGATGCAGAGAGAGGGGGAGGAGCAGAGAGAAGGGGTGAAGCAGTGAGAAGGGGAGAGGCAGTGAGAAGGGGTGTGAAGGAGAGAAGGGGTGTGAAGGAGAGAAGGGGTGTGAAGTAGTGTGAAGGAGAGAGAAGGGGTGTGAAGGAGAGAGAAGGGGTGTGAAGGAGAGAGAAGGGGTGTGAAGGAGAGAGAAGGGGTGTGAAGGAGAGAGAAGGGGTGTGAAGGAGAGAGAAGGGGTGTGAAGGAGAGAGAAGGGGTGTGAAGGAGAGAGAAGGGGTGTGAAGGAGAGAGAAGGGGTGTGAATGAGAGAGAAGGGGTGTGAATGAGAGAGAAGGGGTGTGAATGAGAGAGAAGGGGTGTGAATGAGAGAGAAGGGGTGTGAATGAGAGAGAAGGGGTGTGAAGCAGAGAAGGGGTGTGAAGCAGAGAAGGGGTGTGAAGCAGAGAAGGGGTGTGAAGCAGAGAAGGGGTGTGAAGCAGAGAAGGGGTGTGAAGCAGAGAAGGGGTGTGAAGCAGAGAAGGGGTGTGAAGCAGAGAAGGGGTGTGAAGCAGAGAAGGGGTGTGAAGCAGAGAAGGGGTGTGAAGCAGAGAAGGGGTGTGAAGCAGAGAAGGGGTGTGAAGCAGAGAAGGGGTGTGAAGCAGAGAAGGGGTGTGAAGCAGAGAAGGGGTGTGAAGCAGAGAAGGGGTGTGAAGCAGAGAAGGGGTGTGAAGCAGAGAAGGGGTGTGAAGCAGAGAAGGGGTGTGAAGCAGAGAAGGGGTGTGAAGCAGAGAAGGGGTGTGAAGCAGAGAAGGGGTGTGAAGCAGAGAAGGGGTGTGAAGCAGAGAAGGGGTGTGAAGCAGAGAAGGGGTGTGAAGCAGAGAAGGGGTGTGAAGCAGAGAAGGGGTGTGAAGCAGAGAAGGGGTGTGAAGCAGAGAAGGGGTGTGAAGCAGAGAAGGGGTGTGAAGCAGAGAAGGGGTGTGAAGCAGAGAAGGGGTGTGAAGCAGAGAAGGGGTGTGAAGCAGAGAAGGGGTGTGAAGCAGAGAAGGGGTGTGAAGCAGAGAAGGGGTGTGAAGCAGAGAAGGGGTGTGAAGCAGAGAAGGGGTGTGAAGCAGAGAAGGGGTGTGAAGCAGAGAAGGGAAAAAGCAGGAAGGAGAGGAGAGAAGGTGTGAAGCAGAGAGAAGGTGTGAAGGGATTATGCAGTGAAAAGGGGTGAAGCACAGAGAAGGTGTGAAGCACAGTAGGAAGGGGTGATGGATGGAGGAAGGGGTGAAGCAGTGAGAAAAGGGTGAAGCAGAGAGAAAGGGGTGAAACAGAGAGGAAGGGGTGAAGCAGAGAGAAGGGGTGAAGCAACAAAAAGGTAAAGCAATATTAGCTTGATACCGACAAGAGGCCTAGAGAAAGGGGGAGGGTAAAGCTGGCAATGATGCTACAGGGCATGATTAGTGTAAGACATGATTAGTATATTTTATTGATTGTTCTCCATGTGTACAATCAGCATTTTATTATCATTTGAAGTTGCAAGATATTCTTTGGAGGCAAGTCAAGTGTGGTGTCACCTTTTGGGAAGAATTACAACAGATTGACACCTTTTATTAGTCAATAATGGATATATACCGCACAGTCGGCATGTACAATCTGCACTCATCATTGCACACACCATACTGTATGGAATAGACAATGTAGGAAGTCCAGGGTCTAACATACACAATCTGTTGTACAATCACGTTCAGCTGAACCACTTGTGTATGGTACTTAGCATATGTAATATGTATGTACCCTCACCTGTTGTCTCACAATGGGAAATGTTCAGTGTAAAACTACACAGGAGAGTCTTTCACATCCATCTATTCCATGTCGGCCTCTAACCCTTCATACCAATTTCTCAAACTTCATCCAAATTCTAGCAGAGAAGCTACACAGCAACACATCATGATTCAAGAAACACAATTACAACAAAACACAGCACCCGCCCTGCGCTTTAGCAGCACCATCGTCCAACCCCCCAACACTCGCATCCGTCTTCCCTTCCCCGACCTTCCCCTTCGCACCACCACCCCCCACCCCCTGCTCTTTCCTCGCAGCTTCCCCTGCCTCCTTCCCTTTCCGCGCCTCCTCCTCCTTCCTCGCTTTCTCCCGCTCCTTCTGCTCCCGCTCCTGCCGCTGCCTCTCCCTCACAGCCTCCTGCTTCCCCTCCCATTCCACCACGGCCTCTGCCGCCGCCTCACAGATTTCCAACAGTGCCGGAATCACCTCCTCCGTCAGATCCGGCCGATCTCGGCGGTCCATTTCCGCGCACCAAAGGCCGAGATTCGCCAGATCCATCGCGAGATTCGGCGGCCACTCCCCAGCCCTCGGATCGAGCAGCACGGCCAGCTCCTCCCTTTCCACCGCCGCATCGATTCTCCTCGGGTTCGGCACATCACCAACTAGCAGCTGCAGCAGCACGATCCCGAACGAATACACGTCGGATTTCGGCCCGAGATAGCCTCGTCTCGCGCACAGATACTCGGGGTCTACATAATGCTCTGTGCCGACGATAACGGATTTCCGCACCACGTGGGAGTGGCCGGGAGCGAGGTCCCCCATGAGGCGCGCTAGGCCCACGTCGCCGAGCTTGGCGGTGAAGTTGTCGTCCAGGAGCACGTTGGCTGGCTTCACGTCTCGGTGGACGATGGGCGGCTTGCGCGTGTGCAGGTGCTGCAGGCCCGCTGCTACCTGGTGGTGTTGGAGGAAGGGGAGAGGAAAAAGGTGAAGCGCAGTGAGCACGATTTGGGAGTGGGATGTGGGGAAGGAACAAAGGGGAAGTGGGGTAAGCGTAGGAAGGAGAGCCTGCACATGCGCAGGCGCTGCAGCCCCATTGCTACCTGGTGGTGTTGGGGGGTTGAACGGACAAACGGAACGCAGGGGAAGATGGGCAACTCAAGAACGCCTCCTGCAGCAACGCATGCCACCTGTGCACTCTGTGATGTGCCCTTGGCCTCATCTGCATGGCCATGCAGCGTTTGTGTCACATGAGGGCATTTAAGTATTTTCCCACCGCACAAGACCACACAGTATTGCACATCGCAGCTCAGCTCAGCATGGCAATGCGATAGCGCTCGGGCCACATGAGGGGCGGAGTGCCGCCGACGCAGAGCATGCGATCCTCCCAGCCCACCCTCAGCCCACACCGCACCACACCACACCGCACTATACCACACAGCACCGCAGCGTACCTCCATGGCGATGCGACAGCGCTCGGGCCACGTGAAGGGGGGAGTGCCGCCGACGCAGAGCATGCGATCCTCCAGAGAGCGATCTTGTACACCAACGAGCGGTCCTCCCTGCAGTGCCCAGTCCTCACTCAATCGCACTGCACTGCACTGCACCGCCCTACACTACACTACACCGAATTACACCACATTTCACCGCACTACACCACACTTAATAGCAATACACCGTACATTACCTCCATGGCAATGCGGCAGCGCTCAGGCCACATGAGGGGCGGCGTGCCACCAACGCAGAGCATGCGGTCCTCCAGGGAGCCGTTGGAGAGGAACTCGTAGACCAGCGAGCGATCCTCCCTACAATAACCTAGGAGGCGGACGGCGTTTGGGTGGTCGATACGCTTCTGTACTTCCACCTGTGGGGTGTAGAGGCAGAGGAATCAGCATGGATTAGAGAGAGGGCAGAGCATGCGATCCTCCAGGGAGCCGTTGGAGAGGAACTCGTAGACCAGCGAGCGGTTGCCCTGCAGTAGCCTAGTAAGCGTACAGCATTAGGATGATCAATGCGCTTCTGAACCTCCACTTATGGGAATGCACAGGAGCGGAGGGAGGGGGTTCAACAGTGGAAGCAAGGGTGCTTGGGGGGAAGGGTTAAGCATGGGAAGTAGGAGGAGAGTCGTTGGAGAGGCCGTACACCAGCGAGCGGTCCTCCCTGCAGTAGCCCTGTAGACGCACTGCATTTGGGTGGTCTATGCGTTTTTGTACCTCCACCTGTAGGCATGGGGAGCAAGGGTTAGAGAGAGGGAAGGCAGCGAGGAAAACAAGCAAGAGGTGGGTCGTTGGAGAGGCCGTACACCCGCGAGCGGTCCTCCCTGCAGTAGCCCAACAGCCAAGCGCCCACCGCATTCCACCGCACTCAGCCTCTTAGGAGGAACTCGTAGACCAGCAAGCGGTCCTTCCTCCCTGCAGTAGCCCAGCAGTTTGACGGCATTTGGGTGGTCTATGCGCTTCTGCACCTCCACCTGTGGGCATGAATGAGGGGGATACAGCAAGAGGGGCAAGGGGCGGGGAAAGGGGGAGTCGTACACGAGGGCGCGGTCCTCCCTGCAGTAGCCCTGTAGACGCACTGCATTGGGGTGATGAATGCATTTTTGTACCTCCACCAAGTGCGCCCCTTGGTCCACGCGCGCGCCCTGGTTTACGCGTGCGCCCTGGTCCGCGCGCGCGCCCTGGTCCACGCGCGCGCCTTGGCCCACGCGCGCGCGACTTGATCCAAGTGAGGACTTGGTTCAAGTGAAGGAAGCAAAGGAAGCAGGGGGAGGGCCGTTGGAGAGGAACTCGTACACGTGCGCGCGGCCCTCCGTGCAATAGCCCAGTAGTCACACTGCATTGAGGTGGTCTATGTACTGCTTGATGGCCATAGCTACTTTCACTCACCCTCTTCACCATAGAACCACACGCACCCCCTCTCAACCCCTCTCAACCCCTCCCAGCTCCCTCCCACCTCCCTCTCGATCTCATACGGGGCCAGAGTTCTTGAGTTGCTTGATGGCCAATGCTACTTTCACACACCCTCTTCCCCATAGAACCACACGCACCCCCTCTCAACCCCTCTCAACCCCTCTCAACCCCTCCCAGCTCCCTCCCACCTCCCTCTCGATCTCATACGGGGCCAGAGTTCTTGAGTTGCTTGATGGCCAATGCTACTTTCACACACCTTCTACTCCATAGCAGCACACGCACCCCCTCTCAACCCCTCTCAACCCCTCTCACCTCCCTCTCGATCTCATCCAGGGTCGCTTTGGCATCCGGGTTCCTGAGTTGCTTTATAGCCACAGCCACTTTCACACACCATCTTCCCCACAAAACCTCACACATCCACACGTTACACGCACACCCCTCTCACCCTCTCTCACCTCTCTTTCGATTTCATCCAGCGCTGCTTTCGCATTGGTGTTCTTGAGCTGCTTGATCGCCACTGCCTGCCCGTCCAGCCACCCAAGTTAGAACCACACGCACACACCACACCCCCACGTGGCACGCACCTCCCTATCGATCTCATCCAGAGCTGCTTGGGCGTCGGGGTTCTTGAGCTGTTTGATCGCCACGGCTACTTTCACAGACCCTCTACTCCATAGAACCACATGCACCTCCTCGCACCCCTTCTCACCCCCTCTCACCCCTACGCACCTCCCTGTCGATCTCATCCAGCGCTGCTTGGGCATCGGGGTTCTTGAGCTGTTTAATCGCCACGGCCTGCCCATCCAGCCACCCCTTGTACACCACCCCGTAGCTGCCCTCGCCACACAAGTTGCTCTGAACTCACAGTCGCATTCTCACACTCATTCGCTCACCTCCCGGTCGATCTCATCTAGAGCCGCTTGCGCATCGGGGTTCTTGAGCTGTTTGATTGCCACCGCCTGCCCATCCAGCCACCCCTTGTACACCACCCCGTAGCTGCCCTCGCCACACACGTTGTTCGGCCAGAAATGGTCCATGGCCGCTTGCAGCTCTTCAAGTGTGTACTGCTTGAAATCCTGCCTCGGAAGCGCGTCGAGTTCAGAGGTGGAGAGGCGGATGGAGAGGGAGGAAGCCAGCGGGTTGGACAAAGCGGAGTTGGCGCCAGTAGGGACGCTGCTGCTGATTGTGCTGTCTCCTGCTGTGCCCCCCGCTGCTACTCCTGCTGCTGCTGCTCCTGCTGCTGCTGCTCCTGCTCCCGCTAATGCTGCTCCTGCTGCTATGCCTACTGTTCCACTGCTGCCACTCAGCCGCTTGCTCGACTGCCCCTCTCTCTCTTGAAACTTCTTCTCCAGTCGAACCTTTGCTGCCACAGGCGGCTTCACCTTCCCCTTGCCCTTCCCCGGCGCCCCTCCCCCTGCGCCCCCCCCTGCACCTCCTCCTGCGCCTTCCCCCGCTCCCCCCGCCCCCCCTGCGCCCCCCCCAGCTGCTTCTTCCGCAGCCTGGGCTTTGGCAGCTGCTTGCATGCGATAGTTCCGCCGGGCCAGCTCTAGTGCCGATAGCCCCTCGTCTCCTGCTCCCCCACCCCCTCCCCCACTCGCCCCTGCTGCACCGGCAGCAGCAGCACCAGTACTGGCACTGGTCGCTGCTGCTGTTGCTCCTGCCGCCACTGCTGCTGCTGCTGCTCCTCCTGCGGCTCCTCCCGCCCCAGCAGCGGCAGCAGAAGCAGGGGCAGAGGAGGGGGGGCTGGGGGGTTCCTGTGTGCCGCTGCCGCCCTCCTGTATGCCTGGCAGCTGCTGCTCGTAGGCTGGCGTGGCGTACCCTGCTGTGCCCGCCTGAAGGGGGGAAAAGTAGGTGAAAAGGGCCTATTTTTGAGTCGACTCAAAAGAAGGGGGGAAGGGAGTTTGAGTCGATTTGAAAATGCATGTGTGCCGCTTCCCCCTCCTGTATGCCTGGCAGCTGTGCTTGCCTGAGAGGAAAGGGAGAAGAGGGAAGAAGGGGGAGGAGTGGGGGGAGTGAGGGAGTAATGGAGGAGGACGGGAGATTGTGAGAAGCCTCGAAAGCTCCTGTGTGCCGCTGCCCCCCTCCTGTATGCCTGGCAGCTGCTGCTCGTAGGCTGGTGCGGCATACCCTGCTGTGCCCGCCTGAGATGGGAAGAAAGGAGGGCAGGGAGGTGGGGGTGAGGGAGGAGCAGGCGGAGGGGGGAGAGGAGGAGGAGATGGATAGTGGAGGTGAGGGTGATGGGAGGCGAGGGACAGTGGGGGCGAGGGATAGTGGGGGCGAGGGATAGTGGCAGGCAGTGGGGATTGGAGTAGGATTGAGTGTGGGTTAAACGACTCACCGTGGTGGGGGCGGGGGGCTGTCCCGAGGAGATGGATTTGAGCTTCTTGCCGTCTTCAATGATGAAGAGCGTTGCTCCGGGCGGCAGTTTCGTCTCGTCTGAACACGCGTTGATGGTGTGCCACCTGTGTTGTGTTGGTGACAAGACAAGAAGCACGCATGCAAGGCAAAGTGACTCCTAAGATGCCCCATAGCAGTGCCAACTCATCTGAGCTTCCTTTTTATTCATGGTGTGCCACCTGTGTTGTGTTGGTGACAAGACAAGAAGCACGCATGCAAGGCAAAGTGACTCCTAAGATGCCCCATAGCAGTGCCAACTCATCTGAGCTTCCTTTTTATTTATGGTGTGCCACCTGTTTGCAACAAAGAAGTGATATGTAATATGTATCGTGTCATGTCATGTGATTTACACAGTGGTGGTGACGTGGCATTGGAACAACTTGAAGATGCGAGCACCAAGCAGGTTGCTTTGCCTCCAGCTTCGATGCTGCTGTCTCAGCTTCACTCCTCACTCACTTCCTCCCCTCTCACACCCACTCTCCACCACTCACTGGCTGGCGCCCTTGCCGGCAGAGGAAGGGGAGCACCACGTGGGTGGCCTCCAGCTTCGATGCTGCTGCCATTCTGAACAGCCTTCACTGCACGCTTGTTCTAGGCTTATACTCCCCACTCACTCCCAACACACTCCCCACTCACTGGCTGGCACCCTTGCCGGCAGAGGAGGCGAGCACCACGTGGGTGGCCTCCAGCTTCGAAGCTGCTGTCTCAGCTTCACTCGGCCTCCACTCATTCCCATCTCACACACCCCAGCCCACTCCCCACTCACTGGCTGGCGCTCTTGCCGGCAGAGGAGGCGAGCACCACGTGGGTGGCCTCCAGCTTCAACGCTGCTGCCATTCTGAACGACCTTCACTGCACGATTGTTCTTGTTCTAGCCTTATACTCGCCACTCGCACTCCAACACTCACTGGCTGGCACCCTTGCCGGCAGAAGAGGCGAGCACCATGTGAGTGGCCTCCAGCTTCGACGCTGCCTCCAAAATGGCCGCCCCCGTGTCCTCGTTCTTTATCACATGCACCGTGGAGGGCAGCTAGCAGGGAGGGAGGGGGTGGGGGGTAAGAGAGGGGAGGAACATAAGCCCAGGGAGGCATGGATGCTAGGGAAGGGAAGGGAGGGGCGATGGCTGTTCCCGTGTCCTCGTCCTTGCACACATGCATTGGGGGGGGGCATGCTCTCTGAGCTACCTTATGCACCCAGCCCAACCACTATGCAAGCATCTAAACCGACTCACTCACCCCTGCCTCGCCGCTGACGTCCTGCATGGCTTTGAAAAACGGCAGCACACCGTTGCTGCTCCGAGCTCCTTGCACCCAGCCCAACCCCTCTTGCACCCAGCCCAACCCCTTATGCACCACTCTGCATACATTTAATCCGAATCGCTCACCCCAGCCTCGTCGCTGACGTCCTGCATGGCCTCCAGGAACGGAAGCACGCGGTCGCAGATGTGCACCGCCACGCTCGGCCCGTCCGCCTCGCTTAGACGAACCTGCTTGCCCGCTGGACAAGGGGAGGTGTGAAGAGAGGGGAGATGGGGGGGGAGGGAGGGGGGTGGGAAGGGGGGGAGGACAATGAGAAGGGGCGTGCCGGCAGCACGCGGTCGCAGACGTGCACTGCTACACTGGGCCCGTCCGCCTCGCTCAAGCGCACCAGCTTGCCCGCTGCACAAGGGGAGGTGTGGAGGGGGAATAGGGGAACAATGAGAAGGGGCGTGCCGGCAGCACGCGGCCGCAGATGTGCACCGCCACGCTCAGGCCGTCCGCCTCGCTTAGACGCACCAGCTTGCCCGCTGGATAAGGGGAGGTGTGAAGAGGGGGGAGATGGGGGGGGAGGGAGGGGGGTGGGAAGGGGGGGAGGACAATGAGAAGGGGCGTGCCGGCAGCACGCGGCCGCAGATGTGCACCGCCGCGCTCGGGCCGTCCGCCTCGCTTAGACGCACCAGCTTGCCCGCTGGATAAGGGGAGGTGTGAAGAGGGGGGAGATGGGGGGGGGGGGGGGGAGGGGGGTGGGAAGTGGGGGAGGACAATGAGAAGGGGTGTGCCGGCAGCACGCGGCCGCAGATGTGCACCGCCGCGCTCGGGCCGTCCGCCTCGCTCAGGCGCACCAGCTTGCCCGCTGGAGGAAGACAGAGGGCAAGGAGAGGGGGAAAATTGAGGGGGGATATGATATGCACAACGAGAAGGGGTACAGTCGCAGATGTGCACCGCCACGCTCGGCCCGTCCGCCTCGCTCAGGCGCACCAGCTTGCCCGCTGCACGAGGGAAGCAGGGGGAAGGGATGCGCACGCAATGAGAAGGCGTGCGCTGTCAGCGCGCGATTGCAAACACGCGCGGGCCGGCCGCTGCGGTTAGGCGCACCAGCTGGCCTGGCCGCCGCTGGAGAGAAGGAAAAGGGAGGGGGAAATGCGCAATGAGAAGGGGGTTTTTGAGTCGTTTAAAAATTGACTCATCACACGAAGGAAAAGGGACGGGGAATGCGCAATGAGAAGGGTGCGCTGGCAGCGCGCGTAACAGATGTGCATCGCCACGCTCGTCCGTTTCAGATAGCCTAAGCGCATGTCACGCCGGCGGAATTGGAAGATTGGGGAAATGGGAGGACAGAGGGAAGAGGAACAAGAAATGCAAGGGCGTAAGCCGGCTGGCTGCACGCGGTCGCAGATAACCAGTACCACGCATCATGACCTGCCATCTGTCCCTGAGACGACATTTATGCCACGCCAGCAGAGTGCACGTGGCGAACCTGAGTTGCGAAGCTCGGTGACGACGTGCGTGAGCAAGAGGCAGACGGTTTTGTCTTGTCGTCGGCTGAACTCGCTGATCGTCCATTCTAACGCCTGCCGGGAGTGAGGGAGTAATGGAGGAGGACGGGAGATTGTGAGAAGCCTCGAAAGCTCCTGTGTGCCGCTGCCCCCCTCCTGTATGCCTGGCAGCTGCTGCTCGTAGGCTGGTGCGGCATACCCTGCTGTGCCCGCCTGAGATGGGAAGAAAGGAGGGCAGGGAGGTGGGGGTGAGGGAGGAGCAGGCGGAGGGGGGAGAGGAGGAGGAGATGGATAGTGGAGGTGAGGGTGATGGGAGGCGAGGGACAGTGGGGGCGAGGGATAGTGGGGGCGAGGGATAGTGGCAGGCAGTGGGGATTGGAGTAGGATTGAGTGTGGGTTAAACGACTCACCGTGGTGGGGGCGGGGGGCTGTCCCGAGGAGATGGATTTGAGCTTCTTGCCGTCTTCAATGATGAAGAGCGTTGCTCCGGGCGGCAGTTTCGTCTCGTCTGAACACGCGTTGATGGTGTGCCACCTGTGTTGTGTTGGTGACAAGACAAGAAGCACGCATGCAAGGCAAAGTGACTCCTAAGATGCCCCATAGCAGTGCCAACTCATCTGAGCTTCCTTTTTATTCATGGTGTGCCACCTGTGTTGTGTTGGTGACAAGACAAGAAGCACGCATGCAAGGCAAAGTGACTCCTAAGATGCCCCATAGCAGTGCCAACTCATCTGAGCTTCCTTTTTATTTATGGTGTGCCACCTGTTTGCAACAAAGAAGTGATATGTAATATGTATCGTGTCATGTCATGTGATTTACACAGTGGTGGTGACGTGGCATTGGAACAACTTGAAGATGCGAGCACCAAGCAGGTTGCTTTGCCTCCAGCTTCGATGCTGCTGTCTCAGCTTCACTCCTCACTCACTTCCTCCCCTCTCACACCCACTCTCCACCACTCACTGGCTGGCGCCCTTGCCGGCAGAGGAAGGGGAGCACCACGTGGGTGGCCTCCAGCTTCGATGCTGCTGCCATTCTGAACAGCCTTCACTGCACGCTTGTTCTAGGCTTATACTCCCCACTCACTCCCAACACACTCCCCACTCACTGGCTGGCACCCTTGCCGGCAGAGGAGGCGAGCACCACGTGGGTGGCCTCCAGCTTCGAAGCTGCTGTCTCAGCTTCACTCGGCCTCCACTCATTCCCATCTCACACACCCCAGCCCACTCCCCACTCACTGGCTGGCGCTCTTGCCGGCAGAGGAGGCGAGCACCACGTGGGTGGCCTCCAGCTTCAACGCTGCTGCCATTCTGAACGACCTTCACTGCACGATTGTTCTTGTTCTAGCCTTATACTCGCCACTCGCACTCCAACACTCACTGGCTGGCACCCTTGCCGGCAGAAGAGGCGAGCACCATGTGAGTGGCCTCCAGCTTCGACGCTGCCTCCAAAATGGCCGCCCCCGTGTCCTCGTTCTTTATCACATGCACCGTGGAGGGCAGCTAGCAGGGAGGGAGGGGGTGGGGGGTAAGAGAGGGGAGGAACATAAGCCCAGGGAGGCATGGATGCTAGGGAAGGGAAGGGAGGGGCGATGGCTGTTCCCGTGTCCTCGTCCTTGCACACATGCATTGGGGGGGGGCATGCTCTCTGAGCTACCTTATGCACCCAGCCCAACCACTATGCAAGCATCTAAACCGACTCACTCACCCCTGCCTCGCCGCTGACGTCCTGCATGGCTTTGAAAAACGGCAGCACACCGTTGCTGCTCCGAGCTCCTTGCACCCAGCCCAACCCCTCTTGCACCCAGCCCAACCCCTTATGCACCACTCTGCATACATTTAATCCGAATCGCTCACCCCAGCCTCGTCGCTGACGTCCTGCATGGCCTCCAGGAACGGAAGCACGCGGTCGCAGATGTGCACCGCCACGCTCGGCCCGTCCGCCTCGCTTAGACGAACCTGCTTGCCCGCTGGACAAGGGGAGGTGTGAAGAGAGGGGAGATGGGGGGGGAGGGAGGGGGGTGGGAAGGGGGGGAGGACAATGAGAAGGGGCGTGCCGGCAGCACGCGGTCGCAGACGTGCACTGCTACACTGGGCCCGTCCGCCTCGCTCAAGCGCACCAGCTTGCCCGCTGCACAAGGGGAGGTGTGGAGGGGGAATAGGGGAACAATGAGAAGGGGCGTGCCGGCAGCACGCGGCCGCAGATGTGCACCGCCACGCTCAGGCCGTCCGCCTCGCTTAGACGCACCAGCTTGCCCGCTGGATAAGGGGAGGTGTGAAGAGGGGGGAGATGGGGGGGGAGGGAGGGGGGTGGGAAGGGGGGGAGGACAATGAGAAGGGGCGTGCCGGCAGCACGCGGCCGCAGATGTGCACCGCCGCGCTCGGGCCGTCCGCCTCGCTTAGACGCACCAGCTTGCCCGCTGGATAAGGGGAGGTGTGAAGAGGGGGGAGATGGGGGGGGGGGGGGAGGGGGGTGGGAAGTGGGGGAGGACAATGAGAAGGGGTGTGCCGGCAGCACGCGGCCGCAGATGTGCACCGCCGCGCTCGGGCCGTCCGCCTCGCTCAGGCGCACCAGCTTGCCCGCTGGAGGAAGACAGAGGGCAAGGAGAGGGGGAAAATTGAGGGGGGATATGATATGCACAACGAGAAGGGGTACAGTCGCAGATGTGCACCGCCACGCTCGGCCCGTCCGCCTCGCTCAGGCGCACCAGCTTGCCCGCTGCACGAGGGAAGCAGGGGGAAGGGATGCGCACGCAATGAGAAGGCGTGCGCTGTCAGCGCGCGATTGCAAACACGCGCGGGCCGGCCGCTGCGGTTAGGCGCACCAGCTGGCCTGGCCGCCGCTGGAGAGAAGGAAAAGGGAGGGGGAAATGCGCAATGAGAAGGGGGTTTTTGAGTCGTTTAAAAATTGACTCATCACACGAAGGAAAAGGGACGGGGAATGCGCAATGAGAAGGGTGCGCTGGCAGCGCGCGTAACAGATGTGCATCGCCACGCTCGTCCGTTTCAGATAGCCTAAGCGCATGTCACGCCGGCGGAATTGGAAGATTGGGGAAATGGGAGGACAGAGGGAAGAGGAACAAGAAATGCAAGGGCGTAAGCCGGCTGGCTGCACGCGGTCGCAGATAACCAGTACCACGCATCATGACCTGCCATCTGTCCCTGAGACGACATTTATGCCACGCCAGCAGAGTGCACGTGGCGAACCTGAGTTGCGAAGCTCGGTGACGACGTGCGTGAGCAAGAGGCAGACGGTTTTGTCTTGTCGTCGGCTGAACTCGCTGATCGTCCATTCTAACGCCTGCCGGCAATGCTGGTCGTCGCGCACCCCCACCAGAACCCTAATGTCGGACGTCAAATCAACAGCCATGTTCGATGAATTAAGGCGTCAAGAATATGTTATTGCTGGCATAAGCTGAGGTCGGGATTTAGTCGCCTAGGCGTGAGCGTACTAAGAAAGCGATATCCATTAGATAATGCGGTACTAATGCGGATAATGCGGTACTAATGTGGATAATGCGGTACTAATGCTAAGTCAAATTTACTCAGTATCGGTAGTAAGGCTTATGATGTGAACGTGCTTGTGAAGGCTGGACAACAAGAAAGGGTCCTATGCAACAACGCGAAGCGGAATGCTGGAAATTATCGGACAGGCACTCACAGCGCGAAGCGCCCTGCCTCGAATGGCGGCTGTCTGAATGATGAAACACGGAACGCCTAGTAAGAATCAACGAGGAAAAGCCATGAGTTCCAGTTGTAAGTCCACCTAACAACATCTGAATGCCAGTGGCTGGCCGAGCCGAGAACCAGTGGCAGCATAGGGAGACATCCACTAGCGACCGCTGGGCCTCACGGCACTGAACCTATCGAATCATAATCCGCATTCGAAGTGTATCACACTTTGGTGGACAGTTCTTCTGGGCCTGGGAGAATTAATTTCTTTTTATCGAGAACGCGCGACTGGGCTGATTTGTCACATTCACCCAAGCTGGTCCCGAAAGCCGAAAGCCCGCGAGTTTGCTACAGAACAGCACTGCTGTCAGAGTTGGTCACGGTGGTCCTCTGAGCAGCTTCCAGCAGGACAAGGATGAGTCACCTGGGCACACTGTTGACGTGTACGACCTTGGAGATGCCGTGCTGTCGCAAGGTGCGGAATAGGTTCGGTTTGATTAAAGCCAGGGTCTCAAGTGACCAAGTGCTTTGCAGTCGATGAAAAACGGGCCAGTCTGATTGGTTTACAAATTTGGGGCCAAACTTTTGACAAATCGAGACTCTCCAAAGGGCCCACTTTTCGCCCAAGTGCTTTGCAGTTGCACGGCCAGCCCGTACATGAGACCCTGGCTTTAACACGAAGACCTCGTCTGTTGTAACCAAGTTCGCCCAAATGAGTTTGCGGCTGCCTTATCCCTTGCCAAGTGTCAACTGTGGAACATGAGTTGCGATTTAGGCGGGGTTTCAGACTGCAGAAAAACCAGAGAATATTTGATGCCTCTGTGTAACCAGAGCGTTCCCCGGTTCAAATCATTTTCAGTTCATCTTCGCTACCTCAAATGTTTCTGTATTTCAGAAACGACAATATTTACCTGTAACCGTGTCGCAGGCAGCTCACTCGTGCGTACTGCGCCAAAGTTCTGGTTCTGCCATAATGGAATGGTGGTTGGTTGCTGCTCGCTGGCAGCAGATTTTCGAGGTGAGGGAAGGATGCACCGCCCAACGGCCAACCGAAATTCACCTCATCACCAGCGCAGCCAACCCTTCCCCGTCAGCGAAACGAAACTACCCGCCAAGCGCAACAACCTGGGAGCCAGTCAGGCAGGTCCAGGCTTCAAAGCGGACGTCGTGATCAAATCGCTCAACTGGTTTCCAGTTCGCCCATTTCGCGCAGCACAGTGTGGCCCTGCCAGTTGCCTCTGCCACTTGACTAAACAGTACCTGGCTGGCCTGGCCTGACCAAGCTTTCATTTCTATGGCGGAATGGTGGAATCTTGCAGGCAGAAAACTCACGTTGCCAGCCATCAACCTTCCCCTGGCAAACCCTTGCCTGCTCCAACCGACATCTCTCATGTTCAGTTCAGAGAATGGGCTGAATCCTGCTTCTTCAAACTGTGGTTGTACGGAATGACATGCTGTGCAAGCAGTGAGGGTCAGCTATGGTAGGGTTGTGTGTAGGAGACTAAGCGCGCCACCAGTTTTGAGCTTTAGAACCTTGTACTTTAATCTCTGGAACTCAATCCGCATAGGGTTAGCTCTGGTAGGGTCTCCTCAGCATCAACGTCAGCATTAGCACCAGCACCAGCACCAGCATCAGCATCAGCATTACCGTTAGCATCAGCATTGGCATCGCCGTTAGCATCGAAACACGCCAGTCATGAGGTTGCGGAGCCTGCATTCCACCCTGCTGCTTCTCGTCGCCTGCGCGCTAGCAGCGAATTATCCGCTACTCGCGGATTCGCGAGTGCTGTCAAGAGCCGAGATAGACAGAATCCAAGGTTAGTCGCGTTAAGTTGAGTAGTATTCAAGTTTAGTCGCTCCGACAAGCGGTTTATTCAGCACAGTGTCGTGCGCTTTGGTCTGAGCCCCCAGCCCTGACGCAAACAGGAACCGTGGATAGGTTTGAGATTCAAACTGTTTACCGTGTGTTACGCCGCATCCTCATCGACGACCTATTCTAGTTTCCGTCACGTTTTCATCGATGTCAGTTTAACGTAGTTGCAACGAATCCTAGAAACGTGCTCAGGTCGTCGCCGAGACCACTTTCTTGGTCGCATTCTCGTCGCAGCCTGACTCTCTTGCGCCCAGTCCATCTCGCCACTTCGCATTCCCTTTCCCTGCGCGCTCTGCAAACGGTCATGCGGGTTTCTAGCAGCAGCACCAGCTGTTACAAATCATGTAGATGCCCTCCCTCCCTCCCTCTCGCTCGCTCATGGCCCTCCCTCCTCCCCTACCCCCCGCGCAGCGGTGAAGGCGGCCGTTGACAGCCATGCGCGCGTGCTCGCGGGGGAGCGTTGGGTGCGCACCTATGGCAACTTCCGCGTGGCGCGGGAATTGAATATCGGCCAGACGCCTTCCGCCGCGCCTGGTACGCCGCATGTCACTGTGCTTCCGCCGCGAGTGTTTTGAGTCGTCTCAAAACACTTTTTTTATCACCTACGGCAACTTCCTCGTGGCGCGGGAAGTGAATATCGACCAGGCGCCTTCCGCCGCGCCTGGTATGCCGCGACTCACTTTGTTTCCGCGGCCGCTATGCGCCGTCGGTGCTCCTGATTACATTATTGACTTGCGCGCACCGTCACACTTCCCGCTCGTCTTCCGTCTCCTCCGCTCGTTCGTTCGTCCGCGCGCCGTCCCACCTCGTTTCTGAACTTCAATCCAACGCTTCCCGAACCTTTCCTCATCCTTCCCCCGCTCCTTTTGCCCCCCCTTCCCCCATTTCCCTCCCTCTCCCCCCGCGTAGAGGGTCCGGTGGTGGCGGCGGCGGCATCGGCGGCGCGCGAATCCATTGGGCTGCTGGGAATCAAATCTTTCTCCACCCCTCATCCTCCCCCCGCTCTTCTCTTCCCCCCACCCTCCCCCCCACTTCCGTTTTTCGTAGAGGGCCCCGTGGTAGCGGCGGCATCTGCGGCGCGCGAATCCATCGGGCTGCTGGGAATCAAATCTTTCTTCGAAGACGCCGCTGATGCCGCCAGCGGCAATGGCGCCTCTGATCCCGCCAGCGCCGATAACGGCGCCGCAGCTACAGCCGGGCCGTTTGTTGCGGCGGGGAACGACGCGAGCGTCGCGAATGCGCTTGCGAACGGCGCGACGGACAGCAGCAGCGGAGCGTCGACCTCGTCGTTGCCCTCCTCCTCCTCCGCAGCTACCACCGGGCCGTTTGTGGCGGTGGGGAACGATGCGAGCGTCGCGAATGCTCTGGAGAACGGCGGAACTGACAGCAGCAGCGGAGCCTCGTCCTCCCCCTCCTCCTCCTCGTCGTCGTCGTCCCCAGATTCAGCCCCTGTGTTCAAGGCCAAGGGGTGGATGCTCCCTCACACCCAGCAGCGTGAGTTCTCCCCGCCATCTCTTATACCTATCCAACCCTATCACAGTGCACCTCGTCTGACACGGACCCACAACCGCAAGGCGTGTGATGAGTCGATTTTTGAGTCGACTCATAAATCGACTCATCACACGTGAATTCCCTCCACCATCTCCTATACCTATCCAACCCTACCACAGTGTACCCCGTCTGACACGGACCCACTACCGCAAGGCGGGCCCCCTGTGCCAAGACGTCCGTCCCTTCTTTCCCTCCCCTCTTCCTGTCTTCCTCCTCTCCTCCCCTCCTCGTTTCCTCCCTTGCTCCTCTCCTCCCTCGATCCTCTCCTCCCTCGACCCCTCCTCCCACCAGCGTCACATATTTCCCCCAAGTCCATCGCGTTCCACGGGGGGGCAGTCCTGTCAGACCCAATCACCGTCTACCTCATCTGGCACGGCACCTGGACGGACGAGCGCAAAGCTCCCCTCGTGTGCCGGTGAACGCGCGCTAATACATGTGTACCGTCTTCCCCTCTTCATGCCCTTCCTTCCCCATCACCAGCTTCGGATGCTTCCTCCAACCCCATCGCCTTCCACGGCGGCGCGGTCCTATCCGACCCAATCACCGTCTACCTCATCTGGCACGGCACCTGGACTTATGAGCGTCTTGCTTCCTTTCGTTCCCATCTTCCCCACACGGTCCCCATCTCTCCCCGTCCACTCGGCAGCTTCAGGTGTTGCCCAAAACCCCATCGCGTTCCACGGGGGGGCAGTCCTATCGGACCCAATCACCGTCTACCTCATCTGGCACGGCACCTGGACGGACGAGCGCAAGGCGCCCGTGCGCGCGTTCATTCGGTCGCTGGCGGACGCGGGCGCGGGCGGGGCGGGGGATGGCGCGGGGGGGAGCAGCGTGGCGGGGAGTGTGCGCGAGTGGTGGAACGTCAACCGGCTGTACCATTCGGGGCGCGAGCACGTCGCTGGGAGCATCGTTCTCGGGGTGCGTTTCTTAGCAAGGGCTGATTGGGCTGGCCTGGCAGCTTGCAAGGAAGGAGAAGCGGGATGGGTGGGAGGGACCCATGGGTAGAGAGGGTTGATGCGAGGGTTGATGAGGGGTGTTGGTTGTGTGGTGAGCATGGTGAATGGGGTGGGGCGGTTGGCTGCAGGGTGGTGGTTCGAGTGCATTCATTGCCGCTCTGCTGTGAGTGAGGCACAATGCCAGAATGTCTGATACTTCTCCTCACCCGTGCTGTGCTGTGCTGTGCTGTGCTGTGCTGTGTTGTGCTGTGCTCTGGTGCAGACCCCCGAGGTGGAGATAGAGGCGGCGAGCAGTGGCGAGGGGCAGCCGCCCGCATCCAAGAACGAGATCAACGCCATCATCAACTACCAGGTGCGTCACAGTCACTCTGTTACAGAGCTACCACGCATTATCGCTCCCTTCTCTTCCTTGCCTCCCTTGCTTTCCAAGCTCTCACTCTCCCCCTCTCTCTCTCCATCTCTCTATCCCCCTCCATCCCCATCTCCCTTCCCGCTGCAGCTCCGTTCGCGCACACTCCCCCGCCACGATTCATCCATCTACGCAGTCTTCACCTCTGATTGACTTGCTCCCTCCTCCACTCACTCACTCACTCCCCCTCTCACTCCCTCTTTCTCCCTCTCTCTATCCCCTCAATCCCCATCTCCTAAACAGCTCCGTTCGCGCACGCTCCCCCGCCACGATTCAGCCATCTACGCAGTCTTCACCTCTGATGACGTCGACATGGCCGGCTTCGGCTCGTCCTTTTGCGCCTTCCATGACGTCAGCACGGTGCACTTCACCTGGACGGGCATGCCGTCCAGGTTCATCCCCCAGTGCACGCATGCAGCCGCCCCAGGTAACACCTACCCCCACGGGGACAGGGCACTGGCTGGGCTGATCTCCAACTTCGCCCATGTGCTCGCCGCAGCTGCGGCGAATCCGAACCTGTTGTCTTGGTTCGACAAGGAGGGTCGGGAGGCCATGGGTCTGTGCGGTAACAACTTTGGCACGGTGTATACCAGTAGAGATCCGCTGCCGGTGGAGTACAATGCGGTGGGGAGGGGTGGAGAGCGGTTCCTGCTGCCCACGAACCTCAACCCTGTGACTGGTAGCTGCATTAACGGCCTGTCAGTCGCGCCGGGTCAATGCGGGCCCAAGTTTTTCGGATTCCCTTGTGACACAGTCACCGCGACCGAGGCTGACACCGAACCTGCTGCCGAAGCTGCCGCCGCAGGCTCGGACAGTCTGGGGAGTGGGGCAGGGTCGGGGTTGGGAGTGGTGGCAGCGAGTGTGTTTGGGGGAGAGGCGGAAAAAGCAGTGGTTGGTGGGGAGGGGGATGCAAGGAAAGTCAAGGACCCTCGAGTGGCTGAAGCAGAGGCAGCAGGGCTCGATCTATCAGTTGGGGGGAAGAACGTGGGGAGATTCTTAGAACCTGGACAGTTTGACCCGGCTAAGGGGGACAGAGACGAGGACGATGGGATCAAGGGGCAGGGTGCGGGAAGCACGGACGATTCAGGTGCGGGTGCGGGTTCGAACGTGTTTGAGAGCACGGGGTATGCGGATGGGGGTGAGAAGGAGGAGGAGGAGAGGCATGAGGGAGGTGATGCGTATGGTGGTACGAAGGGTGGTGATCCGTTTGCTGTGGAAAGGGTAGGGGAAGAGGGGGTGGGGGCGGATGAGGAGGTGGGGACAGGCGAGAAGGTGGGAGCAGGTGCTGGCTCAGGGTCGGAGGAGAATAGTGAGGGCAAGGGCCATGGTGATGGTGATGGTGATGGTGATGGTGATGGTGATGGTGATGATGTGTTTCAGAGCACAGGGTACCCGGATGGCTCAGTGGACGAGGAGGAGAGCAGGCATAAGACAGGTGCTGGTGCAGGAGTTGAAGAGAAGAGTGAGGGCAGGGGAGACGGCGACAGTGATGGTGATGATGTGTTTCAGAGCACCTGGTACCCGGATGGCTCAGCGGACGAGGAGGTGGGGGCAGGGGAGGAAGTGGGGGCAGGCGCTGGTGCAGGAGCAGAGGAGAAGGGTGAGGGTAAGGGAGATGGTGACAATGATGAAGACGATGTGTTTCAGAGCACAGGGTACCCGGATGGCCCAGGGGACGAGGACGAGAGCAAGCATAAGGCAGGTGGTGGGGGAGGCGGGAGTGTGGGGGCGGAGGGGAAGGCTCAACCGGGGGAGGTGAACCCGTTTGTGCACCACTCCAACCCGGATGATGCTAATTCTGCTGCTGCTGCTGCTGCTTTGGCTGGGGGAGGTACTGCTGGTGGTGATGATGGTGGCAACGGGGAGGGTAGTACTAGTGAGGGTAGCACGGGGGATGATAGTGGCAGTGGCGTGGGTGCTGATGATGAGGAAACCAGTGAGAGTGGTGATGGGGACGTATTTGAGAGGCTTGCGTATTCTGAAGCGGGTGGGGACGTGGAGGGTGGGGAGGGAGGGGAGCAGGGTGAGGGGAGTGAGAAGGAGGATGGCAGTGGAGACGCCTCTAATGTGTTTGAAAACACAGGGTACCCCGATAGCGACCATGCCAGTGCTGCCAGTGCTGCTAGCAACGATGCACACCCATCAGCCCTGTTCCCAGGCGGCGACAGTGCACCGACTAATGTGTTCGATGACTTGGGGGACGGGGGCAGTGAGGAGGTGGGAGCGGACGGAGCGGGGGAGGGTAGCAGCAGCAAGGCGTCAGGGGGGTTGGTGTCGGGTGGGTTCCAGGCAGGGTTATCAGCGGGGTTTGAGTTTGATCTGTCGCAGTTCAAGCTGGGCGAGAGGGAAAGCCCTTCTGCTCCCCACTTGTTCCCCGACGCCGCCACTGCTGCGGCAGGGGGGGCGCAGGGGGAGGTGCAGCAGCCGCAGCAGCCGCCGCAGCAGCCGCAACAGCAGCAGGAGGGGGAGAAGTGGGTGTTTTCAGGAGTTTAGAGGGATTGGTGCACAGGAGGATTGCCGCTGGTGATCCACTCATGTTTCTGCTGCTTCAACTGCTTCGAGTGGGGCCGGCTGCTCTTGCTTCTCTTGCTGCTGGTGTGGCTTCTGTTGGAGAGTGGCATTGGCTGGATGCTGCTCTTCTCGATCATATAATAGTATATTTATTTTATTCAATCCGTTTGTGTGGTGGTGGCTGTGGTTGCACTGCAGTTTTTGTGCTCCATGTGACACACTATTGCTAATCTGATTGGAACGTGATATTGTACCTTGTGTGTTTTAGTCTCACTTAGTCATGTGCACCTAGTGTACAGGCCTACCGTATATGGCAGTTCATAAGGTGTCTATTTTGCAGGCCACGTTAGGAGTTGAGGTAGCGTGAGTTCAACGTCAATAGTGATGTGCAAAAATATTCACGAAATTCACTGCGTGAGTCATGCCACTGTTATAAAACATTTCACGTTGGTGGTGGTGATCCCCGAGGTGTCTGCTACATACGGGCGTATGTGTTTGAACGAGAACACTGAAGTGTCCTTATGGTTCATGCTGCTGTGTGTTACTCCACACCACGGCACACGGACGTGGATATCGTATGGTACTTCTGTAAACCTCAGTCTCTGAGTGGCAAGCATCAGCACGAGCAACAGCAGTGGCAGCAGCAGCAATAGCAGCGCGGTTGATCGCAGCGACTATGAGGTCCCAGAAGCCATGCACGTTCATGCTGCGAGCCACATGTGCGTTATATATACCCCTCGTTTCTCACTCCCTTCGTGCTGTACAAGCCGCAGCATGAGCAGCGGTGGCAGCAGCAGCAGTAGCAGCGCGGTCAATCGCAGCAACTATGAGGTCCCAGAATCCATGCACGTTCAGGCTGCGAGCCACATGCACGAATCCTTCTGTTGCTGCTGCTGCAGCATTACAGCCCAGTGAGCAACAGTTGCAACACGAGCAGCAGTAGCGTCAGCAGCGGTAGCAGCGTGGTGAATAGCAGCAACTATGAGGTCCCAGAAGCCATCCACATCCATGCCGCGAGCCACATGCGCATTGGCTGGCCGCTTGCTTTGCCTCCACACGTCATACACTGTCTGCCCTGCTGAGAGCTGGAGCAGGGGGTGGGGATGGACATGGTGGGAGTGGATAGAAAGAGGGGGAGGGCGAGAGTGGGGAGAGGGCAGTGCAGCCGTGCTACCACACATCACACACTGTCTCTGGCCTGCTGACAACTAATGAGAGATTTTTTAGAATTTCTCAAAAACTGCTCATAGGCGCTCTCTCTGTTGGGCGCCTCTCTGTTGGGCGCCTCTCTGTTGGGCGCCTCTCTGTTGGGCGCCTCTCTGTTGGGCGCCTCTCTGCTGGGCGCCTCTCTGCTGGGCGCCTCTCTGCTGGGCGCCTCTCTGTTGGGCGCCTCTCTGTTGGGCGCCTCTCTGCTGGGCGCCTCTCTGCTGGGCGCCTCTCTGCTGGGCGCCTCTCTGCTGGGCGCCTCTCTGTTGGGCGCCTCTCTGTTGGGCGCCTCTCTGCTGGGCGCCTCGCCTCTAAAAGGCGCCTCTCCTCTAAGAGGCGTCCCTCCTCTAAGAGGCGTCCCTCCTCTAAGAGGCGTCCCTCCTCTAAGAGGCGTCCCTCCTCTACGAGGCGCCTCTCCTCTAAGTGGTGCCCCTCCTCTAAGAGGCGTCCCTCCTCTAAGAGGCGTCCCTCCTCTAAGAGGCGTCCCTCCTCTAAGAGGCGTCCCTCCTCCAAGAGGCGTCCCTCCTCTAAGAGGCGCCTCTCCTCAAAGTGGTGCCCCTCCTCTAAGAGGCGCCCCTCCTCTTTGAGTGGGTAAATTGTTGAGCGTTGGCGGGTGGGTGGATTGGTGAGTGGGGCCGGGTGGGTGGATGAGTTAGAGCGGACGGGTGGGTGGATGGGTGAGCGTGGGAGGGTTGGTGGAAGGTTGAGCATTGGCGGGTTGGTGGATGGGTGAGTGGGGGCGGGTGGGTGGATGGGTGAGCGTGGGAAGGTTGGTGGATGGTTGAGTGTTGGCGGGTGGGTGGATGGGTGAGTGGGGTCGGGTGGGTGGATGGGTGAGTGGGGTCGGGTGGGTGGATGGGTGAGCATGAGCGGGTGGGTGGATGGGTGAGTGTGGGCGGGTGGGTGGATGGATGGATGAGTGTGGGTGGGTGGGTGGATGGGTGAGTGTGGGGGGCGTAGGTGGATGGATGAGTGTGGGCAGGAGGGTGGATGGGTGAGTTTAGGCGGGTGGGTGGATGGGTGAGCGTGGGCGGGTGGGTGGATGGGTGGTGAGGGCGGATGGGTGGTGTGGGCGGATGGGTGAGTGTGGGCCGGTGGGTGGATGGATGAGTGTAGGCGGGTGGGTGGATGGGTGAGTGTGGGCGGGTGGGTGGATGGGTGAGTGTGGGCGGGTGGGTGGATGGGTGAGTGTGGGCGGGTGGGTGGATCGATGAGTGTGGGAGGGTGGGCGGATGGGTGAGTGTGGGCGTCTGTGTGTGGGTGTGAGTGTATGTAAGAACGAGTGCGAGTGAGTGCAATGGAGTGCAACTGGGTGCGAGTGTGTGCGAGAGTGAATGAGTGTAAGTGAGTGAGGGATTGCGAATGAGTGTGTGCGACTGTGTGTGAATGTCAATGAGTGTGTGCAAGTGTGTGGATTGGTGCAAATGAAGTAGGCGTATGCGAATGTGTGCCATTGTGTGCAAGTGCGAATGAGGGCGAGTGAGCGAAAGTGTGTGGGAGTGTGCGGGAGCGTGTGCGAGTGTGTGCGAGTGTGTGAAAGTGTGTGCGAGTGTGTGCGAGTGTGTGCGAGTGGGTGGGAGTGCATGCGAAAGGGGAGCCGACATGAGGTTGAGGCAACAAGAGGGTGGCGACAAGGGGAGGACACAATTTGAACGAGAGGCGGCTTTGAAAAAAAGACCAACATGAAGGCAGAGCGGAAACAGTACGGGCAAGAAACATGAGCAGGAAGACGTGGAGTGCAAAGATGAGGGCAGGAGTGAAGAGGAGGTGGGGGGATGAGAGGAGTTAGGCATGAAGGGTTGGCGCAGAAGCCCCGTGGAACGCATGAGATGAGTGGCGGTGTGCAACGGTGAGCAGAGCAGCAGCGCAGAGCAGATGAGATGAGGGATGCACACAGTGGGCGGGATGGCGGCGGAGACAAGCGCCCAGGACGACCACACCACTCTCGCCTGCCTTCTCACACGCCCTGCACACATCTCTGTGTGCAGTGAAGAAAAACCAAGGAAACCAATGTGACTGCAGAGCGAAAGCAACAACGGGCAAACAACATGAGCAAGAATAAGAGTAGGCAAAAGAGAGCATGGCGTGAAATGGCAAGTGCATTGGGGGGGGGGAGGGGAAACGGGGCGGGAAGGGCATGGCAACAGCAGCGCAGAGGAGTGGCGCCCGAGTCACACCACAGAGGAGTGGCGCCCGAGTCACACCACAGAGGAGTGGCGCCCGAGTCACACCACAGAGGAGTGGTGCCCGCCTCACACCACAGAGGAGTGGCGCCCGCCTCACACCACAGAGGAGTGGCGCCCGCCTCACACCACAGAGGAGTGGCGCCCGAGTCACACCACAGAGGAGTGGCGCCCGAGTCACACCACAGAGGAGTGGCGCCCGAGTCACACCACAGAGGAGTGGCGCCCGCCTCACACCACAGAGGAGTGGTGCCCGCCTCACACCACAGAGGAGTGGCGCCCGCCTCACACCACAGAGGAGTGGCGCCCGCCTCACACCACAGAGGAATGGCGCCCGAGTCACACCACAGAGGAGTGGCGCCCGAGTCACACCACAGAGGAGTGGCACCCGAGTCACACCACAGAGGAGTGGCGCGCAAGTCACACCACAGAGGAGTGGCGCCCGAGTCACACCACAGAGGAGTGGCGCCCGAGTCACACCACAGAGGAGTGGCGCCCGACTCACACCACAGAGGAGTGGTGCCCGCCTCACACCACAGAGGAGTGGCGCCCGCCTCACACCACAGAGGAGTGGCGCCCGCCTCACACCACAGAGGAGTGGCGCCCGAGTCACACCACAGAGGAGTGGCGCCCGAGTCACACCACAGAGGAGTGGCGCCCGAGTCACACCACAGAGGAGTGGCGCCCGAGTCACACCACAGAGGAGTGGCGCCCGCCTCACACCACAGAGGAGTGGCGCCCGAGTCACACCACAGAGGAGTGGCGCCCGAGTCACACCACAGAGGAGTGGCGCCCGACTCACACCACAGAGGAGTGGTGCCCGCCTCACACCACAGAGGAGTGGCGCCCGCCTCACACCACAGAGGAGTGGCGCCCGCCTCACACCACAGAGGAGTGGCGCCCGAGTCACACCACAGAGGAGTGGCGCCCGAGTCACACCACAGAGGAGTGGCACCCGAGTCACACCACAGAGGAGTGGCGCCCGAGTCACACCACAGAGGAGTGGCGCCCGACTCACACCACAGAGGAGTGGTGCCCGCCTCACACCACAGAGGAGTGGCGCCCGCCTCACACCACAGAGGAGTGGCGCCCGCCTCACACCACAGAGGAGTGGCGCCCGAGTCACACCACAGAGGAGTGGCGCCCGAGTCACACCACAGAGGAGTGGCACCCGAGTCACACCACAGAGGAGTGGCGCCCAAGTCACACCACAGAGGAGTGGCGCCCGAGTCACACCACAGAGGAGTGGCGCCCGAGTCACACCACAGAGGAGTGGCGCCCAAGTCACACCACAGAGGAGTGGCGCCCGACTCACACCACAGAGGAGTGGCACCCGAGTCACACCACAGAGGAGTGGCGCCCGACTCACACCACAGAGGAGTGGCGCCCGAGTCACACCACAGAGGAGTGGCGCCCGAATCACACCACAGCGGAGTGGCGCCCGCCTCACACCACAGAGGAATGGCACCCGAGTCACACCACAGAGGAGTGGCGCCCAAGTCACACCACAGAGGAGTGGCGCCCGAGTCACACCACAGAGGAGTGGCGCCCGAGTCACACCACAGAGGAGTGGCGCCCAAGTCACACCACAGAGGAGTGGCGCCCGACTCACACCACAGAGGAGTGGCGCCCGAGTCACACCACAGAGGAGTGGCGCCCGACTCACACCACAGAGGAGTGGCGCCCGACTCACACCACAGAGGAGTGGCGCCCGCCTCACACCACAGAGGAGTGGCGCCCGAGTCACACCACAGAGGAGTGGCGCCCGAGTCACACCACAGAGGAGTGGCGCCCGAGTCACACCACAGCGGAGTGGCGCCCGCCTCACACCACAGAGGAGTGGCGCCCGAGTAACACCACAGAGGAGTGGCGCCCGAGTCACACCACAGTTGAGTGGCGCCTGAGTCACACCACAGTGGAGCGGCGCCTGCCTCACACCACAGAGGAGTGGCGCCCAAGTCACAGCACAGAGGAGTGGCGCCCAAGTCACACCACAGAGGAGTGGCGCCCGACTCACACCACAGAGGAGTGGCGCCCGAGTCACACCACAGAGGAGTGGCGCCCGAGTCACACCACAGAGGAGTGGCGCCCGAGTCACACCACAGAGGAGTGGCGCCCGCCTCACACCACAGAGGAGTGGCGCCCGCCTCACACCACAGAGGAGTGGCGCCCGCCTCACACCACAGAGGAGTGGCACCCGAGTCACACCACAGAGGAGTGGCGCCCGAGTCACACCACAGTTGAGTGGCGCCTGAGTCACACCACAGTGGAGCGGCGCCCGCCTCACACCACAGAGGAGTGGCGCCCAAGTCACAGCACAGAGGAGTGGCGCCCGAGTCACACCACAGAGGAGTGGCGCCCGAGTCACTCCACAGAGGAGTGGTGCCGGAGTCACACCACAGAGGAGTGGCGCCCGAGTTACACCAGAGGAGTGGCGCCCGAGTCACACCACAGAGGAGTGGCGCCCGAGTCACACCACAGAGGAGTGGCGCCCGAGTCACACCACAGAGGAGTGGCGCTCGAGTCACACCACAGAGGAGTGGCGCCCGAGTCACACCACAGAGGAGTGGCGCCCGAGTCACACCACAGAGGAGTGGCGCCCGAGTCACACCACAGAGGAGTGGCGCCCGCCTCACACCACAGAGGAGTGGCGCCCAAGTCACACACAGAGGAGTGGCGCCCGACTCACACCACAGAGGAGTGGCGCCCGAGTCACACCACAGAGGAGTGGCGCCCGAGTCACACCACAGAGGAGTGGCGCCCGAGTCACACACAGAGGAGTGGCGCCCGACTCACACCACAGAGGAGTGGCGCCCGAGTCACACCACAGATGAGTGGCGCCCGAGTCACACCACAGAGGAGTGGCGCCCGAGTCACACCACAGAGGAGTGGCGCCCGAGTCAAACCACAGAGGAGTGGCGCCCGAGTCACTCCACAGAGGAGTGGCGCCCGAGTCACACCACAGAGGAGTGGCGCCCGAGTCACACACAGAGGAGTGGCGCCCGACTCACACCACAGAGGAGTGGCGCCCGAGTCACACCACAGATGAGTGGCGCCCGAGTCACACCACAGAGGAGTGGCGCCCGAGTCACACACAGAGGAGTGGCGCCCGACTCACACCACAGAGGAGTGGCGCCCGAGTCACACCACAGAGGAGTGGCGCCCGAGTCACACCACAGAGGAGTGGCGCCCGAGTCACACACAGAGGAGTGGCACCCGACTCACACCACAGAGGAGTGGCGCCCGAGTCACACCACAGATGAGTGGCGCCCGAGTCACACCACAGAGGAGTGGCGCCCGAGTCACACACAGAGGAGTGGCGCCCGACTCACACCACAGAGGAGTGGCGCCCGAGTCACACCACAGAGGAGTGGCGCCCGAGTCACACCACAGAGGAGTGGCGCCCGAGTCACACCACAGGAGTGGCGCCAAAGTCACACCACAGAGGAGTGGCGCCCGAGTCACACCACAGAGGAGTGGCGCCCGAATCACACCACAGAGGAGTGGCGCCCGAGTCACACCACAGCGGAGTGGCGCCCAAGTCACACCACAGAGGAGTGGCGCCCGACTCACACCACAGAGGAGTGGCGCCCGAGTCACACCACAGAGGAGTGGCGCCCGAGTCACACCACAGAGGAGTGGCGCCCGAGTCACACCACAGAGGAGTGGCGCCCGAGTCACACCACAGAGGAGTGGCGCCCGAGTCACACCACAGAGGAGTGGCGCCCGAGTCACTCCACAGAGGAGTGGCGCCCGAGTCACACCACAGAGGAGTGGCGCCCGAGTCACACCACAGAGGAGTGGCGCCAGAGTCACACCACAGAGGAGTGGCGCCCGCGTCACACCACAGAGGAGTGGCGCCCGAGTCACACCACAGAGGAGTGGCGCCCGAGTCACTCCACAGAGGAGTGGCGCCCGAGTCACACCACAGAGGAGTGGCGCCCGAGTCACACCACAGAGGAGTGGCGCCCAAGTCACACCACAGAGGAGTGGCGCCCGAGTCACTCCACAGAGGAGTGGCGCCCGAGTCACACCACAGAGGAGTGGCGCCCGAGTCACACCACAGAGGAGTGGCGCCCGAGTCACACACAGGGGAGTGGCGCCCGAGTCACACCACAGAGGAGTGGCGTCCGCCTCACACCACAGAGGAGTGGCGCCCGACTCACACCACAGAGGACTGGCGCCCCAGTCACACCACAGAGGAGTGGCGCCCGAGTCACACCACAGAGGAGTGGCGCCCGAGTCACACCACAGAGGAGTGGCGCCCGAGTCACACACAGGGGAGTGGCGCCCGAGTCACACCACAGAGGACTGGCGCCCGAGTCACACCACAGAGGAGTGGCGCCCGAGTCACACCACAGAGGAGTGGCGCCCGAGTCACACCACAGAGGAGTGGCGCCCGAGTCACACACAGGGGAGTGGCGCCCGAGTCACACCACAGAGGAGTGGCGTCCGCCTCACACCACAGAGGAGTGGCGCCCGACTCACACCACAGAGGACTGGCGCCCCAGTCACACCACAGAGGAGTGGCGCCCGAGTCACACCACAGAGGAGTGGCGCCCGAGTCACACCACAGAGGAGTGGCGCCCGAGTCACACACAGGGGAGTGGCGCCCGAGTCACACCACAGAGGACTGGCGCCCGAGTCACACCACAGAGGAGTGGCGCCCGCCTCACGCCAAGGAGGAGTGGCGCCCGAGTCACACACAGAGGAGTGGCGCCCGACTCACACCACAGAGGAGTGGCGCCCGAGTCACACCAGAGGAGTGGCGCCCGAGTCACACCACAGAGGAGTGGCGCCAGAGTCACACCACAGAGGAGTGGCGCCCGAGTCACACCACAGAGGAGTGGCGCCCGAGTCACACCACAGAGGAGTGGCGCCCCAGTCACACACAGGGGAGTGGCGCCCGAGTCACACCACAGAGGACTGGCGCCCGAGTCACACCACAGAGGAGTGGCGCCCGAGTCACACCACAGAGGAGTGGCGCCCGAGTCACACCACAGAGGAGTGGCGCCAGAGTCACACCACAGAGGAGTGGCGCCCGAGTCACACCACAGAGGAGTGGCGCCCGAGTCACACCACAGAGGAGTGGCGCCCGAGTCACACCACAGAGGAGTGGCGCCCGAGTCACACACAGGGGAGTGGCGCCCGAGTCACACCACAGAGGACTGGCGCCCGAGTCACACCACAGAGGAGTGGCGCCCGAGTCACACCACAGAGGAGTGGCGCCCGAGTCACACCACAGAGGAGTGGCGCCCGAGTCACACCACAGAGGAGTGGCGCCCGAGTCACACACAGGGGAGTGGCGCCCGAGTCACACCACAGAGGAGTGGCGTCCGCCTCACACCACAGAGGAGTGGCGCCCGACTCACACCACAGAGGACTGGCGCCCCAGTCACACCACAGAGGAGTGGCGCCTGAGTCACACCACAGAGGAGTGGCGCCCGAGTCACACCACAGAGGAGTGGCGCCCGAGTCACACACAGGGGAGTGGCACCCGAGTCACACCACAGAGGACTGGCGCCCGAGTCACACCACAGAGGAGTGGCGCCTGCCTCACGCCAAGGAGGAGTGGCGCCCGAGTCACACACAGAGGAGTGGCGCCCGACTCACACCACAGAGGAGTGGCGCCCGAGTCACACCAGAGGAGTGGCGCCCGAGTCACACCACAGAGGAGTGGCGCCAGAGTCACACCACAGAGGAGTGGCGCCCGAGTCACACCACAGAGGAGTGGCGCCCGAGTCACACGACAGAGGAGTGGCGCCCGAGTCACACACAGAGGAGTGGCGCCCGACTCACACCACAGAGGAGTGGCGCCCGAGTCACACCAGAGGAGTGGCGCCCGAGTCACACCACAGAGGAGTGGCGCCAGAGTCACACCACAGAGGAGTGGCGCCCGAGTCACACCACAGAGGAGTGGCGCCCGAGTCACACCACAGAGGAGTGGCGCCCGAGTCACACACAGGGGAGTGGCGCCCGAGTCACACCACAGAGGAGTGGCGCCCGAGTCACACCACAGAGCAGTGGCGCCCGAGTCACACCACAGAGGAGTGACGCCCGAGTCACACCACAGAGGAGTGGCGCCCGAGTCACTCCACAGAGGAGTGGCGCCCGAGTCACACCACAGAGGAGTGGCGCCCGAGTCACACCACAGAGCAGTGGCGCCCGAGTCACACCCAGAGCAGTGGCGCCCGAGTCACACCAAGAGGAGTGGTGCCCGAGTCACACCACAGAGGAGTGGCGCCCGAGTCACACCACAGAGCAGTGGCGCCCGAGTCACACCACAGAGGAGTGGCGCCCTAGTCACACCACAGAGGAGTGGCGCCCGAGTCACACCACAGAGGAGTGGCGCCCGAGTCACACCACAGAGGAGTGGCGCCCGCCTCACACCAGAGAGGAGTGGCGCCTCACACCACAGAGGAGTGGCGCCCGAGTCACACCACAGAGGAGTGGCGCCCGAGTCACACCACAGCGGAGTGGCGCCCGAGTCACAGCACAGAGGAGTGGCGCCCGCCTCACACCACAGAGGAGTGGCGCCCGAGTCACACCACAGAGGAGTGGCGCCCGAGTCACACCACAGAGGAGTGGCGTCCGCCTCACACCACAGAGGAGTGGCGCCCGACTCACACCACAGAGGAGTGGCGACCGAGTCACACCACAGAGTGGCGCCCGAGTCACACCACAGAGGAGTGGCGCCCGAGTCACACCACAGAGGAGTGGCGCCCGAGTCACACCACAGAGGAGTGGCGCCCGAGTCACTCCACAGAGGAGTGGCGCCCGAGTCACACCACAGAGGAGTGGCGCCCGCCTCACATCACAGAGGAGTGGCGCCCGCCTCACATCACAGAGGAGTGGTGCCCGCCTCACATCACAGAGGAGTGGCGCCCGCCTCACACCCCAGAGGAGTGGCGCTCGCCTCACAGCACAGAGGAGTGGCGCCCACCTCACACCACAGAGGAGTGGCGCTCGCCTCACACCACAGAGGAGTGGCGCCCGCCTCACATCTCAGAGGAGTGGCACCCGCCTCACATCACAGAGGAATGGCGCCCGCCTCACACCACAGTGAAGGAAGCGAGGTGGGAGAGGAGGGCTGGATGGCCCATGGGAGGAGGAAGCGTGGGGAGTGGAGGAAGCGAGGTGGGAGAGGAGGGCTGGATGGCCCTTGGGAGGAAAAGCGAGGGGAGTGGAGGAAGCAAGGTGGGAGAGGAGGGCTGGATGGCCCTTGGGAGGAGGAAGCGTGGGTAGTGGAGGAAGCGAGGTGGGAGAGGAGGGCTGGATGGCCCTTGGGAGGAGGAAGCGAGGGGAGTGGAGGAAGCGAGGTGGGAGAGGAGTGCTGGATGGCCCTTGGGAGGAGGAAGCGTGGGGAGTGGAGGAAGCGAGGTGGGAGAGGAGGGCTGGATGGCCCATGGGAGGAGGAAGCGTGGGGAGTGGAGGAAGCGAGGTGGGAGAGGAGGGCTGGATGGCCCTTGGGAGGAAAAAGCGAGGGGAGTGGAGGAAGCGAGGTGGGAGAGGAGGGCTGGATGGCCCTTGGGAGGAGGAAGCGAGGGTAGTGGAGGAAGCGAGCTGGGAGAGGAGGGCTGGATGGCCCTTGGGAGGAGGAAGCGTGGGGAGTGGAGGGAGCAAGGTGGGAGAGGAGGGCTGGATGGCCCTTGGGAGGAGGAAGCGAGAGGAGTGGAGGAAGCGAGGTGGGAGAGGAGGGCTGGATGGCCCTTGGGAGGAGGAAGCGAGGGGAGTGGAGGAAGCGAGGTGGGAGAGGAGGGCTGGATGGCCCTTGGGAGGAGGAAGCGAGGGGAGTGGAGGAAGCGAGGTGGGAGAGGAGGGCTGGATGGCCCTTGGGAGGAGGAAGCGAGGGGATTGGAGGAAGCGAGGTGGGAGAGGAGGGCTGGATGGCCCTTGCGAGGAGGAAGCGTGGGGAGTGGAGGAAGCGAGGTGGGAGAGGAGGGCTGGATGGCCCTTGGGAGGAGGAAGCGAGGGTAGTGGAGGAAGCGAGGTGGGAGAGGAGGGCTGGATGGCCCTTGGGAGGAGGAAGCGAGGGAAGTGGAGGAAGCGAGGTGGGAGAGGAGGGCTGGATGGCCCTTGGGAGGAGGAAGCGAGGGGAGTGGAGGAAGCGAGGTGGGAGAGGAGGGCTGGATGGCCCTTGGGAGGAGGAAGCGAGGGGAGTGGAGGAAGCGAGGTGGGAGAGGAGGGCTGGATGGCCCTTGGGAGGAGGAAGCGAGGGGATTGGAGGAAGCGAGGTGGGAGAGGAGGGCTGGATGGCCCTTGCGAGGAGGAAGCGTGGGGAGTGGAGGAAGCGAGGTGGGAGAGGAGGGCTGGATGGCCCTTGGGAGGAGGAAGCGAGGGTAGTGGAGGAAGCGAGGTGGGAGAGGAGGGCTGGATGGCCCTTGGGAGGAGGAAGCGAGGGAAGTGGAGGAAGCGAGGTGGGAGAGGAGGGCTGGATGGCCCTTGGGAGGAGGAAGCGAGGGAAGTGGAGGAAGCGAGGTGGGAGAGGAGGGCTGGATGGCCCTTGGGAGGAGGAAGCGAGGGGAGTGAAGGAAGCGAGGTGGGAGAGGAGGGCAGGGTTGCCCTTGGGAGGAGGAAGCGAGGGGAGTGGAGGAAGCGAGGTGGGAGAGGAGGGCTGGATGGCCCTTGGGAGGAAGCGAGGGGAGTGGAGGAAGCGAGGTGGGAGAGGAGGGCTGGATGGCCCTTGGGAGGAGGAAGCGAGGGTAGTGGAGGAAGCGAGGTGGGAGAGGAGGGCTGGATGGCCCTTGGGAGGAGGAAGCGAGGGGAGTGGAGGAAGTGAGGTGGGAGAGGAGGGCTGGATGGCCCTTGGGAGGAGGAAGCGAGGGTAGTGGAGGAAGACAAGACCAAACCATTCCGGGCAAAGATGAAGACGCTCACCTTCTTGCTTTTACCCCGGCCCGACCGGACAAGAGGCTCCGACAACATCGCTGCATCCGACTCCGAGCTTCCATCGCCATACGCGACACAGCTCTCAGACGCCTCGGAATTGCGAAGGCTGTACACACGCCCTGCAATCACGCCCTGCACACATGCCCTGCACACACGCCCTGCACACACGCCCTGCACACTTGCCCTGCACACATGCCCTGCACACATGCCCTGCACACATGCCCTGCACACATACCCTGCACACACTGAAGCATGCAGACATGCAGTGAAGCACACAGACATGCAGTGAAGCACACAGACATGCAGTGAAGCACACAAACATGCAGTGAAGCACACAGACATGCAGGGAACCACACAAACATGTAGTGATACTCAGATGCAAGCCTGAACGAGTTGAAAAAGGGAAAAGGAAGCAGGGAAGGATATGGAGTGCAGAGCAGGCAGTGTCGGCAGAAAACAAGGAATGAGACAAGGGAGGCGAGGGGAAGGATGTGGCGAATGGATGGGAGCGGGTGCACGGGATGGTGTGCATGGGAGGGGAAAAAGGGCGCGATGGTCGAGGCAAGGAAGTAACAAGGCAGAGCAAGCGCTAGCTCACGCATCCCACATCTCCCCTTCCCCTCCGCCCCCCACTGTCTCCAGTCGCCCGATCCCCATCCCCACCCCCCCTCTCATTCCCCCAAAGTCAAAAAACCCCACTTAGCACCCCCAAAGTAAACCCCCCTTTCCCACTCCCCCCTTCATCCACCCCTCCCCCCATCCTCGCCATTCCGACCTTGTGATGGTGCGGCATGAGAGTGTGGACACACGAGGGAGGTGCTCACCCAGCCACGTGTCAGCGCCTGGTTGGTGGCCTTGAGCACACTCACTCGTGTGCCTGTCTCGCACCACAGTCTCTGCCTCGTGGCCTGCGTTTGCGCGGGGTGGGGGAAGAGCGGAGCAAAAAGAGAGCAAAGATTTCCCGCGACCAGATCCAATGAGGGACTCTGGCAGCAGTGCTACTGGCGAATTGACTACCTAGCTTCAAGGATGTGAAGCCTGCCAATACGTTAATGATGCAGTGAAGCACGCAGACATGCAGTGAAGCACACAAACATGCAGTGAAGCACACAGACATGCAGGGAACCACACAAACATGTAGTGATACTCAGATGCAAGCCTGAACGAGTTGAAAAAGGGAAAAGGAAGCAGGGAAGGATATGGAGTGCAGAGCAGGCAGTGTCGGCAGAAAACAAGGAATGAGACAAGGGAGGCGAGGGGAAGGATGTGGCGAATGGATGGGAGCGGGTGCACGGGATGGTGCTCACCCAGCCACGTGTCAGCGCCTGGTTGGTGGCCTTGAGCACACTCACTCGCGTGCCTGTCTCGCACCACAGTCTCTGCCTCGTGGCCTGCGTTTGCGCGGGGTGGGGGAAGAGCGGAGCAAAAAGAGAGCAAAGATTTCCCGCGACCAGATCCAATGAGGGACTCTGGCAGCAGTGCTACTGGCGAATTGACTACCTAGCTTCAAGGATGTGAAGCCTGCCAATACGTTAATGATCCGCAGGTCTTAAACCACTTACCTGTGTGTCTTGGAGCGCCTCTAGTGCGCACTCAGCACTGCTCTCCCGCCACACGCCCACGCAGGCGTTGAGAAGGAGGATTAGCAGAATGATCAGCGGCTCCACACACGGATGATCCCGCCGTCCTCCTGATCTTGAACACGAGCAATGGCGGAGGCAGGAAAGAACGCAACGAATGGAAGCAGGGGGGGATGCGGGACAGAAACAAAGAGAAAGGGGATTCTGTATAAAGGCGTTTTGATGAAGGAAAATAGATAACAGAACATACTAAATGTAGGCGACGGGACAAGAGCAGATGAACGAGTAACTTCCTCAGCACAGTGATTCTGTCACTCCGCAATACGACGGTCGAGGTCTGTGAAAGGGCAGAACTACCAGTAGCACAGCATTGCAGGGATGGTAGGGCCGAGGGGAGCACGAAAGGACGGATGAACGGAAAGCGCAGGAGCACGGAAAGTCAGCGAGAGGACTTGAGTAGGACGAACTGGAGAGGGACTCAGCGAGTTTACGGCGTAAGAGGAACCATCAGAGCTAAGTAAGGTCGCGAGACGTAAATGGAAAATGTGATATTCGCAATCGGAAAAGGAACATGGTGAAGTCAATCGGAAAAGGAACATGGTGAAGTCAATCGGAAAAGGAACATGGTGAAGTCAATCGGAAAAGGAACATGGTGAAGTCAATCGGAAAAGGAACATGGTGAAGTCAATCGGAAAAGGAACATGGTGAAGTCAATCGGAAAAGGAACATGGTGAAGTCAATCGGAAAAGGAACATGGTGAAGTCAATCGGAAAAGGAACATGGTGAAGTCAATCGGAAAAGGAACATGGTGAAGTCAATCGGAAAAGGAACATGGTGAAGTCAATCGGAAAAGGAACATGGTGAAGTCAATCGGAAAAGGAACATGGTGAAGTCAATCGGAAAAGGAACATGGTGAAGTCAATCGGAAAAGGAACATGGTGAAGTCAATCGGAAAAGGAACATGGTGAAGTCAATCGGAAAAGGAACATGGTGAAGTCAATCGGAAAAGGAACATGGTGAAGTCAATCGGAAAAGGAACATGGTGAAGTCAATCGGAAAAGGAACATGGTGAAGTCAATCGGAAAAGGAACATGGTGAAGTCAATCGGAAAAGGAACATGGTGAAGTCAATCGGAAAAGGAACATGGTGAAGTCAATCGGAAAAGGAACATGGTGAAGTCAATCGGAAAAGGAACATGGTGAAGTCAATCGGAAAAGGAACATGGTGAAGTCAATCGGAAAAGGAACATGGTGAAGTCAATCGGAAAAGGAACATGGTGAAGTCAATCGGAAAAGGAACATGGTGAAGTCAATCGGAAAAGGAACATGGTGAAGTCAATCGGAAAAGGAACATGGTGAAGTCAATCGGAAAAGGAACATGGTGAAGTCAATCGGAAAAGGAACATGGTGAAGTCAATCGGAAAAGGAACATGGTGAAGTCAATCGGAAAAGGAACATGGTGAAGTCAATCGGAAAAGGAACATGGTGAAGTCAATACCACGTCCCATCCACTCGGTTCACCTCGTCTGTCTAAGGATTTCCAGGGAGCATGCACAATCCACGCGGCTGCTTGTCGACGTAATCAAGGTAGTAGGATATCTCAAAAGAGAAAGACTTCAAGACTCACTAGATGTACTATCCGCTCACCTGCTCCTCACGCAGGCGAGGATGAACGAGACGACAGCAGCGGCGAGAAGGATCTCAACGAGCGTGTCGTTGAACTGATCCAGCAACAGCTTCTAAAACGGCGTGCCTGCCTCCTTCTCTGACTCGTTAAAGCCGAATCTGCTTCAACGACACGCGACATCTTGGGGTTTCAGGCCGTTGTCTGCATCCGCTCAAGACACTCCTGCACGGAGTGTCTGGTATGGATCCCAAGTGAGACGACATCGCCTAGAAGCAGAAGTCAGTAATCGACCCTGAAGACGTGATCGCACAAACGCAGAGAGCAGTCTGGCCGAGCGCACACACTCAACAAATCACGCCGTCGGACTACGGCCTGCGACGTCCCTCACGCTAGAGGTGACCTTATCTGAGCTCGCCGATGTGAGAAGTCTTGGTTCACAGGATTCAGTTCAGAGTATACATCTGCATCCTCTGAGGCAGGAAACACACAATTTTCGAATTTCAAATGTGCAGTCCTCGGAACCTGGCAAGCCAACAGACATCTCAGAGTCTCAGACTCGTTGAAGAACCGTGGAAGAGAAATAGAAACCTGTTGATCTGCTAAAACAGACTCCTTTCGTGTTCCAAAAACCTTCGTTTGTGTGCTGTGTTGTGGGTCGCGGCGCGGTTCTATAGCGCCCCATTTTGCTTGTCAGAAGTGTGCACCTGAAAAGAGGTAGCAATGATTTTCACATCTTGTTGTCACATGAAGTTTACAAGGCAGTCAAGGATACCTCTTATACGGTACCTGTATGGAGATCATGTGATGGGGAAGAAAAACCTTCTGTATGAAGAAAATCTCCAGCAGCACATTTGAAAAGGCTGCTAAATGAATTCCACAACTTGGATGTTCAGTAAAATAGCCCATGTTTGTGACATGGTTTCTTGCCAGTGCAATAGAAGGATGGCTGGCCAGATTGCTGGCAATGGCAGTACAGTATATTTTTGTCAAACATATATCTATATGTTAGAGTTATTGCTAGGCTGTAGTGGGGTAGATAGTGTGGGGTATAACCCCTTAGGATTTTCCTCTTGTACCAACTCTCTCGATGCTCATTCCATCCTTGCCTAAGGTTTAACATGGCATATAGAGCACTAAGGTCTCTAGGACCTAAGAATAGGGCCCACCTTTAACTGAGTTACCTCACCCACAGCCTCATTGCCTGCCTGCCTGCCCTGCCTGCTGACCGCGCGCGCCTCGGCTGCTTGCGCGCGTCATTTTTTTTTTTTTTTTTTCCCGCGCGCGCCTCTTAAGCAGCCCGCGCGCAGCCCGTTTAGGCCCGTTTAGGCCTGTTTTTGGCCCCGCGCGCCACGTCAGCCGCCCGCGTAGCCTGCCACCGGCCCGCGCGTCGCGTGAGCCGCCCGCGTGCAGCCCGCTTAGGCCCTGCGCGCCGCGTCCGCCGCCCGCGTAGCCCGTTTTACGGCCCCGTTTTAGCCTGCCGCCGGCCCCGCGCGTCGCCTCCTCCAGTGACGGCGCGCTGCCCCCCGTCGCCCGTCACGGCGCCTGTGGGACCCGCGCGCTGCCCTGCACCAGCTACACCGCCCCTGGAGCAGCCGCCCCTGGACCCAGAGCAGCCGCCCCTGGCCCCTGAAGCAGCCGCCCCTGGTGCAGCCGCCCCTGGACCCAGAGCAGCCGCCCCTGGCCCCTGAAGCAGCCGCCCCTGGTGCAGCCGCCCCTGGACTCCGTGCAGCCGCCCCTGGACCCAGAGCAGCTGCCCCTGGACCCTCGAGCGCCGCCCCTGGACCCAGAGCAGCCGCCCCTGGCCCCTGCAGCAGCCGCCCCTGGAGCAGCCGCCCCTGGAGCAGCCGCCCCTGGACCCCGAGCAGCCGCCCCTGGCCCCTGAAGCAGCCGCCCCTGGTGCAGCCGCCCCTGGGCCCTCGAGCAGCCGCCCCTGGACCCAGAGCAGCCGCCCCTGGCCCCTGCAGCAGCCGCCCCTGGAGCAGCTGCCCCTGGACCCAGAGCAGCCGCCCCTGGCCCCTGCAGCAGCCGCCCCTGGTGCAGCCGCCCCTGGTGCAGCCACCCCTGGACTCCGTGCAGCCGCCCCTGGACCCGCGACGCCGCCCCTGGACCCCGTGCTGCCGCCCGCCGAGCGCCGGCCCTGCTCGCCCGGCAAGCGCCTTCTCTTCCCGCCACTGGTGAGCACCTGCCTTGTTTGCGCGCTACCGCGCCATCTGCCTGCCTGCCTGCCTGCCTGCCTGCCGGCCTGCCTGCCTGCCTGCCTGCCGCGCCTGCCCTGCACGCGCTGCTGCTGCTATTACTACTGTTACTGCTGCTACTGCTGCTACTACTGCTACTGCTGCTACTGGCGGTGGCCAGATGCAGCTCCAGCGACGTCCGCGTGAGTCCCTCACGCCCCTGCAACTTAGTGAGTGGTACGCTAGTTGGGGTTGTAGAGGTGGCCGCGCTGCTACTGCTGCTACTGCTGCTACTGCTGTTACTGCTGCTACTGCTGCTACTACTCCTACTGCTGCTACTGGCGGTGGCCGTCGTAGCTGTCGCCCTGGAGCTGGTCCGTTGGGAGCGTCTGGCAGTGGCCAGCTGCAACTGCAGCGGCGTCCACGCGAGACACTTACGCCACGGCAGCTTCACGAGTGGTACGCTCAGAGTAGAGGGTCTTTGAGTACCGTTCGCTGCCCGTACGTCATTCGCACAGGTGATCGGACTGGTCAGGCTTGCGGGACGCTTGGTCACACACAGTCCCGCTGTTTCGCCCATCTGAGTGACGCCTGGCGTACCGAGTTTGGTGACGAGGCTGAGCTCCCCGACTGGGTGGAGCTGCTTGGGCAGAGGGTAGATATATTTGCTCTTGACTATGATGCTATTCTCACTGCCATGTATGCATTGACTGTTAGTGCTGAGGGTGACTGCTACTTGTGTGTGCCGCCGGATCCTAGTATAGCCCCTGGTATAGCCCCTGCAGCACTAGGTGCTTGTGAGTCTGCTCCCCCTGGTACTGCGCCTGCACAGGCCTTGCACACCTTTAGACTTGACTCTGGTGCTTCCCGCTGTTTCTTCCGCGACAGTACCACAGTCACTCCCCTCCCTGCACCTGTTCCTGTCTCACTGGCTGACCCCTCTGGGGGCCCAGTGCTTGCACGGTCTTCCACTGTGCTTCCGTGTCCGGCGGTCCCGTCTGGTGAGCTGTCTGGTCTCCACCTCCCCTCGTTCTCTACGAACTTGGTGAGCAACGCTGTCCTCCAGGATGCGGGGGTTGACACCTTCACCCCTGGCCGGAAGCGTGTGGCGATCTGCACGTGTTCCCGGACCGGCCGCCACCTGGCCACGTTCACCCATGCGCCAGGGTCCAGTCTGTACACCCTCACCACTGCGTCGCGCTCCACCCCTTTGTCTCCCCAGCTGCACGCGTCTGCTCAGGTAGCTACCCAGTATGAGTGTCGCCGGCTGTCGCACGACACTCTCCTGTGGCACCATCGCCTTGGTCACCCCTCCCTGCCTCGCCTTCGTAGCATGCACTCTCGCTTCCTGGTCTCTGGTCTTCCCAAGTCTCTGCCTGCCCTCCCTCCCTCGCCTGCGCCGCCCTGCATTCCTTGCGTCGAGGGGCGACAGCGCGCCGCTCCTCACTCCTCCTCGTTTCCTCCCACAGAGGCTCCACTGCAGACACTCCACCTGGACGTGTGGGGCCCAGCCCGCGTCCAGGGGCAGGGCCACGAGCGGTACTTCCTGCTGGTCATCGACGACTACACGCGTTACACCACAGTCTTCCCCTTGCAGCGCAAGGCGGATGTCCCTGCTGTTTTGATCCCTTGGATCCGCGCTGTTCGTCTCCAGCTCCGCGAGCGGTTCCAGTCGGACTTTCCTGTCCTGCGTCTGCACTCTGACAGAGGTGGTGAGTTCTCCTCCGACCTCTTGGCAGCCTATTGTGCGGAGCACGGCATCACCCAGTCGTTCACGCTTTCGGCCTCTCCGCAGCAGAATGGGGTTGCTGAGCGCCGCATTGGCTTAGTCATGGAGGTCGCTCGTACCTCCATGATCCATGCGGCTGCCCCCCATTTTCTGTGGCCGTTTGCGGTCCGGTACGCCGCGCGTCAGCTCAACCTCTGGCCCCGTGTCTCCTTGCCGGAGACCTCGCCCACACTGCTGTGGACGGGGAAGGTTGGCGATGCGTCGCGTTTCCGAGTCTGGGGTGCTCGTGCCTTTGTCCGCGATACCACTGCGGACAAGCTCTCCCCTCGCGCCATTCCTTGCGTCTTCCTTGGTTTTGTCCCTGATGCGCCTGGCTGGCAGTTTTACGACCCCGCCTCGCGCCGTGTCTTTCCGTCTCAGGACGTCACCTTTGACGAGTCAGTTCCCTTCTACCGTCTCTTTCCCTACCGCACTGCCCCTCGCCCCCCCCCGCCGCTCTTTCTCGCCCCAGGTCCTCCCCAGGTAGACCCCCTCCCCGCGCCAGGTCCTGCTCCCTCAGGTGTTTCTCAGGTAGACCCTCCCGTCCCTGCGCCTGCTGAGGTCACTGGTGACTCCGGTCCTGCTGGGAGTGGTGCTGTCCCTGGGGATGCGGAGCTTGGGGGTGCGCAGCGTTGGGGTGCTGGGTCTGGGGGCGCTGAGCGTGAGGAGCCTGAGGGTGCGGAGCCTGGGGGTGCTGAGCCTGCGTGTGAGGACCCTGGAGGTCCTGAGCCTGGGGGTGCTGCTTCTGGGGGTGCTGCGTCTGGTGGTGCTGAGCCTGCGTGTGCGGAGCCTGGGGGTGCTGAGTCTGGGGGTGAGTCGCCTGAGGGTTCTGAGACTGCTGTTCCGCGGTCTCCTTGGAGTAGCCGTCTTCGTCCGCGTGTGCCTCTCACCTCTCAGCAGCTGCACGACTGGTACGGTCGCCGTCAGCGTCGCGCTTCTGCACCTCAGGACTCTCCTGCTGGGGGTCCTTCTGCTGAGGTCACTGGCGCTGGGAGTGGTGCTGGTCCTTTGCCTACTGGAGGTGCTGGTGTAGTTGGTCCCGGAGGTGCTCGTACTGGGGGTACTGGAGCTGCTGGGGCTGGCGGTGTTGTGTCTGAGGGTGCTGCTCCTTGTGGCACTGCGGCTGGAGACCCTGGGGCTGGAGGTGCCGGTTCTGGGGGTGCTGCA